TCGATACTCAGCTCAAACTCGATCGAGTTTCATTTTTACAGTTCGATCTCAATTCGTGATCGAAATCAAGCTATGCGAGCTCGCTCGATTAAGCTTGATTAATATATAAAAATAAGCTTGATTCATATACTAAAAAATAGTTCGATTATTTATGCTTGAGCTCGAACTCGAATTCGAGATATTTTATTAATTAAAATAATAAAAATATATTTAAATATAAAAGCTCGATTAAGCTCGCGAACTACTCGAATCGGATATAAGAATACTCAAACTTGACTCGATCGGTAAGTTGAGTTACTCGAGCTTGACTCAATAATAATCGAGCGAATTCGAGTTTTTTTTTAATCAAATTTGAGTGACTTACGAGTACTAATATATCATTTATACCCCTAATTTAATGACAGAGATAATCCCAAATGTTTAAAATTAAGTGTTAAATACTTTATATTGAAAAACACTTTACTTTAATGCAGCTTCTATAAAAGGTAAAAATATTATTATTTTGCTTAAGTTATGTTTGGGATTTGCATGAATATTATAAAGGAAAAGATAATTTTTTTAAGAAAGGGTAAAAAAAACGACTAAATGTTTTTTTTCCTAAAAACTTGTTATAAGATTAATGTAAAAATAAAAAAATAATATAAAACAAACAGTTATTTTTTATTACTAGTTCAACTAATAAAGCTAACAGTTAAAAAATTAAAAATAATATATTTGTTTTGATATCCATTATCACACTAAATAAATAAATTACATAAAAAGTCAAATTTACTTTTAAAGCAAAAAAACTCAAAAAAATATAAAAAAAATTAAGTTATAGTATGTAAAAAGCCAAAAAAAATACGATTAAGTTATAAAACTAAAAAAAATGTTAATTCAATAAAAACAAAGCTAAAAAAAAAATCAATGTATAATATGTTAATATAATAATTATATATGCAATAGGAAGATGATGGATGATATCATGTTAGTGACGCTAATGGTTATAAATTTGTAATTGATGTTCTCCTGCTGCTAAAATTTCTTGCCTTGTGAATCAACTTTGATGGACAGAGATGATCACCCAAACATCGGCTCCAAAGATAAGATTTGATTAATCAAATCAATTTTGATGCACGTTTAACGGTGGAAATCATCCATAATGTTAAGATTAAGTGTTAAATACTTTACATTGAAAAAACCCTTCACTCTTATCAATTAAAAAAACTTTGATGCATGTTCAACGGTGGAGATCATCCCAAATGTTTAAGTGTTAAACACTTTTTACTGAAAAACGCTTTACTTTAATGCAGCTCCCATAAAAGGTAAAGATATTATTATTTTGCTTAAGTTTTGTTTGGGATTTGCATAAATATTATAAAGGAAAAGGAAATTTTTTTTAAGAAAAGGTAAAAAAACAACTAAATGTTTTTCTTCTGAAAACTTGTTATAAGATAAATGTAAAAATAAAAAAATATTATAAAACAAACAGTTATTTTTTATTATAGTTTGACCATTAAAGTTAATAGTTAAAAAATTAAAAATAATATATTTATTTTGATATCCATTATCACACTAAATAAATAAATTACAAAAAAAGTCAAATTTACTTTTAAAGCAAAAAAACTCAAAAAAATATAAAAAAATTTTAAGTTATAATATGTAAAAAGCCCAAAAAATGCGACTAAGTTATAAAACTAAAAAAAAAGTTAATATAATAAAAACAAAGCTAAAAAAAAAGTCAATATAAAATATGTTAATATAATAATAATAAAGCTGAAAAGAAAATGTCAATATACAATAAAAACTGTAAGGAAAGAAAATATTAAAATATATAAAATATATGAAGAGATTTCATATGTTAAATTTTTTTAAAATTTTTTCTCTATTTTAACCAATTTAGATATTAGAAAAATGAATAAAAAGTACAATTCTCCTTCTTTCTTTTATCTGTGACAATATATAAAGTAATACTCTTTGTACAACTGATTAATGTAAAAAAAAAAAAAAAAAATCTGAAGATAGGAAATGTAATCCTTTGCCAAATGTTGAGGTTTTGGTTGTTGGGAAATGCAATAAATGTAGGAATACGCACTCTGCTGAGATGGTGTTTGACGACCTTGAAAAGAGATGCATTGGCTTAAAACTCATTTATTTCGATATATTCTAAAGACGATTGATAGAAGAAGTTGTTAGCAGAACTAGATTATTACTAAATAACTATTTCATTAATTTTTTAAATTAGTGTAATGGATTACAAAAAATGTAAATTTTTTTTTTTTTTTGGCATCAATCATGTATAATATATATTTAATGTTTGATTTATTTATTTTTATTAATTACAATATTTGTATTTGTCAATCACTTTTTGCATATTTGTAAAATGTTTTACCTTCATTTAATTTATTTATTTTCTTTTATTTTTAATTTTTTAGAGTTATATCTAACTATTTATGATAAATATTTTCATAATAGTTAGAGGTGTGTTACGGTTAGAAATAGATTAATAATTTAGAAAAAAAATAAGTTGTTAGAGTTAAAAAAACCAATAGATTTGAGCAGATTAATAAAATTTTTTATTTAAATAAAAAGTTAATTGATAGAAAATTTTATTTAAAATAAACAATAATTTTTTGAGATTGTAAATTTGAGTAACGAAGAGTTTTTGAACGAAAATATTTAAAGTTGCATAATCTCAAATCTAAGATAGATTTAGAATTTATTAAGTAGTGTAAGTAAATGGTTTGATTTAAAGTTTATAAAATTTTTGAATGGATAAATCTAGAGTTTTGTAAACTCAAACTTGAATTATTTTGATTTATGTATAAGAATTTCCTTATATTTAGGGATGTTGATTTGGTCGATTTGATTAATTTCAAATTGAATTATTTAAAATTGAATTAATTGAATTATATTATTTTATTTTCGTTAACTTAATGGAATCTATGAATTTTAAAAATTAATCAACTAAATTTAATTCGATTAGTTCAGTTAATTTTTTTAGTTAATCAAATAAAAAATATATTTAAGTTAAATTATATTTTAAATTCTTAATTTTTCATATTTTAAATAAATTAAATAAAATTATCTAATAAAATATTCAAATACCAAAATATTATGCTAAAAATTTTAATAACTTATGAAATTAAATAATCCATTTAACTTTTTTATTTTGTATTTAAATTATATTATATTTTAATTATAATTTCGATTAATTTAGTTAATTCAAAATTTGAATCGAATTAATAAAAATTCAAAAAAAATTTTAAAATTATTTTTATTAACCTACTAAAATTAATTCGATAATAAATTGATTAACAAACATTAAATCAATTGATCATTTAATTAGATTAAAATCAAATTATAAATACTCTTAATTATATTTTATTATCTTTTGAATTTAACATTAAAAATATATATTTTTATGAATATATGTAAAACCACCTGTAGCATAGCACGGACATTCTAGCTTAATTTAAAAATTTTCCCCAAAGTAACAATGCTTCTTATTCTCTTGCTTTCCTTATCTTTCCTTTTCTTTCGCTTGCATCCCTCGATCCAAACACAGTCTTAAGCTGAGAGTCTTTCCCTCCATTGTCACTCACTCTTTTCAGAGCCGGGGACCCAACTCTTCGTTCTCTTCTACCTTCGTATTTTCCGCATAAAAAGCCCTAGAAATCTTGCTTTACGGTATGATTTCTCCTGTCTTTCTCGTTTCTGTCATCGTCGATCGTCAGGCTTCGTGTTTTCTTTTTCTTGTTTCTTTAGTTGCTTCAAATGTTTTGGTCTATGCTTTTTTTTTTTTGCTGTTTTAGAGTGTTTTTATGTCGATTTTGAACTGCATTGTTGTCTATTACTCTGATAGCTTTTTCTTCTTTTTTTTTTTTGTGTTTTTCATTTTTTTGCTTTAAATTTTACCTTTCTTTCGCTGTAAGCTATATAGTGATTTTCTGTTTTATTTTCACTTTCTCGGCTAATCTCAGACTTTTTTTTTCTTTTACTTTCTCATTTAATTTGAGGCTCTTTTTATGAAAAAAATTATTTTTAAACTTGTCTTTGACTCTCCTATAAGTTTATCACTATTTTTTTCTGCTTTTTTATGAATCGCTGAAAACCTATTATCTTTTTTCTTATTTATCTCGTATTTTAATTCTATTTGATGTTAAAAAATTAACTCCTTTAGCAAGCTATTTCCTTGGACAATGCCCTTTGATTTTGGCTATATTAAATCATCGTCAAAGCGATTTTGACTTTTTTTAGAATGATTTTGTTAATCCGTACAAAAAACCCTAATCAGAGAAAATATTCCATTAAGAGAAGCTCGTAGTTTGTTGTTATTGGATAATAAAAGCTGTATTTCACTAAACAAATCTATGCTTTTTCTTTTTGCCCTTGTTTCACCCCCTCAGTGCTTGTCCTCCATTGTTGAGTTTAGAGCAACTGAGTGCCAGTACCGCTAAGAGAATGTTGGCTTTATTTATTTATGCATTCTTATTGTTTAAGGTTGCCTTTTAGGTTTTTATCTCCTTTTTCTTCCAATTTTAGTTTATAAAACTTTAAGCTGGGTTAGTGGGATTGCACATTACCTATTGGGTGTGGTTGTTTCCTTTATCTGCTATCTACATGTTTTAATCTGCATTTTTTATTTTTTATTTTTGGCTTTCTGGTTCTTTAATGGTTTTGTGTTCCCTTCAAGGATTTTCCATAAATTTTTTTTTTTTTTTTTGAATTTTACTTTTTGGTTTTAGAAAAAAAGTATGATTTTAGTTGCATATTAACAGTATATAAACTTATGAAATCAACATCTAGTAGTTCTACTTTTCTTTTTGTTTTTCATCTAACATTTAATTTGGGAAAAATGTTTTCTGGGCTTATTTCATGTTTAGTTATGTAATGCTCTTTGTTCACAGTTCTAAGAATTATGTAGTTTTAAAGTTGACTCATTAAGTTGTTCATGCTACTCACTAATAAAAAAAAAAAGCTGGGAAAAGGGAGGGGGGGTGGGCTGGAGCGTGGCAAAGGCTCCTCTGCTTCACCCTGCCAAACTTAGTTTGGTATGAAATTCTGTATCAATTTCTTTTCTTTGCCTTCATAGGTAAAATATTCAAGATTGTTTTTGCTTTCTATTAACAATATTGCCTTCCTTTTCACCACAAAATTGCATTGCCTTGTCATTGGAAAATTTTTTTGTAAGATTTTATGTTGGTCAGAATCTGTATCTAATCTTATATGCTGTTTGTGAAATTTTGTAATCTTGGACAACTAGTTTCTCATTTAGGGGTTTTATTTATCATTCGTTTTCTATTTTTTTATACAGTTTCTTCTCTTTATTTTTCCTATCCACTTTTCATTCGGAGGATGAATTTTATTCTGTGGATTTCTTACTTGAGTATGTATGGCTTTAATATTAAATACTGTAAGAAAGCACAAGTTCCTATTATCTGTTCGAAGCCATTCAACAAATCAAAGCAATGTTTATTTTATAACATTGTGTTCTTGTGAATTTTCTGACATTTCACCATACCATAAGATTTGTGTAGTCTAATATATTTGTTGTTTGCATGTTTGCTATATTTGCTAATTAGTGGTCTTACATAACTATTAATGTAGTACTAATGTTCTTATTGGTTGATTACAAGATGGAGAAAGCAGGAGATGCTGAAGAAGCAGGTAAATCCCCATTTCTGCCCCACCCACCTCCAACAATACCATCCAATGTGAATCCAGATGGAATGAAGCCTCACAAGTATTCTATTGCTAGTAGGCGTGGGGTTGGGATGAGTGGACAACAAATATCCCTGCTCGCCAATCACTTCAAAGTTTCTGTCAATGCCACAGATGCAGTATTTTACCAGTATACTGTAGGTTTATTTTGTTTTTCCATCCTGTTTTTGGAAGTTCACTTTCAAGGATGAATATTCACTAACAAACACTTTGTAGGTTACAATTTCTTCAGAAGATAAAGTAGTTGAAAGCAAGGGGATTGGGAGAAAACTCGTTGATAAGCTTTACCAAACATACTCCTCCGAACTTGCTGGGAAAAGGTTTGCATATGATGGTGAGAAGAGTTTGTATACAGTGGGTCCTTTGCCACAGAACAAATTTGAATTTACAATAGTGCTAGAGGAGTCATTCGCAAAACGGTATATTCTTTTACTCTTCTTTACTGATTTTAGCTTTTGAATATGTTAGAATCTGGTTATTAAAAATTTTAGTTGCAATCACTAACTGTTTGGTAGTGAAAGCAGGAATCCTGATGGTGATGGGAGCCCTGTTGGGACTGGTAAGCGGATAAAACATTCTTTCCAGTCAAAGACTTACAAAATGGAACTAAGCTATTCTGCTAAAATACCTTTGAAGTCGATATCTCTTGCCCTCAAAGGAGTTGAGTCAGATAATAGCTCTCAAGATGCATTGAGAGTGCTTGACATCATTCTGAGGCAACAAGCCGCTAACCGGTATTTAATTTTCTTTCCTATGATTTCATTTATTCTGAAATATTAATCTTAATCATTTTCTCTGTACGCATGTGCGTATCTGTATGTATTGCTGGTCCTGTATCGTTTGAACTTCTATTTTGGATTTATAGGGGGTGCCTTTTGGTGAGGCAGTCCTTCTTTCGAGATGATTCAAAGAATTATGTTGATGTGGGAGGAGGGGTATTGGGTCTGCGGGGTTTCCATTCCAGTTTTCGTCCCACTCAAGGGGGCTTGTCTCTAAATATGGGTATATTTTATTCATTCTATCTAAACTTTGATCTGAAAGCTTTTTATTCTCGTCATCATTTTGTTGGTTAACATTTCCAATTTTAAACCTTTGTCGCAGATGTATCTACAACAATGATTCTAAAGCCTGGACCGGTGATGGATTTTCTAAAACTGAACCTGAATGTAAATAATATTCGTTTTGAGAATGATGCTCATTTCTGGCTGAAGTTAAGAAATAACTAAACAGCAAATAGTATTCTCCATTACTTATTGTCTTGAAAATTAGTTGTTGTCTTGAAAATTAAACATAGTGTAAATTCTACAGGCCAAACGAATGTTAAAGAATATGAGGATTAAAACAACACACCGTAATATGGAATTTAAAATAATTGGTTTGAGTGAGAAGCCATGTTCTGAGCAATAGTATGTGCCCATTCCCTGGAGACTTTCCTTTTTATAACTTCTATTTGTGTTCTTTCTCCATGAAAAATTTATAATTCTGGTTTATTTCTGTCTTTTATTTCTCCTAGCTTCCCAATGAAAGTGAAAAATGGTGACTGTTGTGAGGGGCAGACTGTTGAGATCACAGTGTACGAGTATTTCACTAAACACCTTGGCATAGAACTTACATATTCTGCAAACATGCCATGCCTTGATGTTGGCAAACCAAAACGGCCTAACTATTTACCACTAGAGGTCCGTCAATTTTTTATGCTTGATAGATAGTTGTGATTTAGTTTATTACATTCTACACAGTTGTCACTCATGTCTAAGATCCTGATGTTTAATTTTTGTGGTGAACTAGCTCTGTTCACTTGTTTCACTTCAGCGGTATACAAAAGCATTGTCTTCAAATCAAAGAGCAACCCTGGTCGAAAGATCCAGGCAAAAGCCTCGGGATAGAATACAAACTCTGACTCATGTATGCTTCTTTGTCATTCTTGTGGCCATATATGCATTTGTGTAATAGTGCATTGACTGCCACAATTTTATGCTTCATCGACCTGGCAGGCTTTGAGAAGCAACCAATTCAATGAGGACCCTGTGTTTTCTGCATGTGGAATTTCCATTGGAAAGGAATTGACAGAAGTTAAGGGTCGTGTCCTTGAGACTCCACGGGTATGTATTATTGCTCTCTTTATGTTGGGGAGAAAGAAAAAGAGCAAGAGATCGTACCCTAGTTTTAAAGTGTTTAGTGGGTTCATTATAATGAGTTTTCTTTTGTCATTAATAGTTGAAGGTTGGTAATCGTGAGGATTGCATCCCACGAAATGGACGGTGGAACTTTAACAACAAGGTACATTGAGAGAGATTTTTTGTTTATCCCTCATTTTTTAGGTTACAGTTAGCAGCGTTTGACTCGATCTTAATTGATAGCAACTCTGTGCTTCAGAGTTTGTCTTACTTCTGTTTACTTTCCTATAGCATTTTATTTAACAGTTTATATTTATAGTTCTTTTACCTTCCATCCTTTTGCAGAGACTTCTGGATCCAAAAAATATTGAACGATGGATTGTTGTCAACTTCTCTGCCCGCTGTGACATCAGTCGAATTTCAAGGGATCTTATCAGTTCTGCAAGAAACAAGGGCATTGTAGGTTATGACATATGTTGACTGTTTTGTATTATACTGCTATTTAACTTGGTTACCATAACTGTCTTCCTTGTACAAATGTATCCATACTTGAAGGAAATGGAACGCCCACACACATTGATTGAGGAGGATAGACAAGCTGCTCAAGCCAGCCCTGCTGCTAGAGTGGAAGCAATGTTTGAGCAGATTATAGCAAAGCTTCCTGGCCCTCCTGACTTCATTCTATGTGTGTTGCCAGTGAGGAAGAACTCTGATATTTATGGTAAGGCTTTCCCTGTTATTGTTGAGATTCTTTTCTTATTTGATTATTCTACTGACATTTTCCATGTATTGTCAAGGACCTTGGAAGAAAAAATGTCTTTGTGATATTGGAATTGTCACACAATGCATTTGCCCTGTAAAAGTTAATGACCAGTACCTCACAAATGTACTCCTTAAAATCAATTCAAAGGTAAATCTTAAATATATGAGATTAAAGAATTGTTTTAACTTTTATGTTAATCTACCCCTCCAATGCTCCATGATTTTTACCACTTGTCTGTCTTACTTATAGCTTGGAGGCATCAATTCTTTGTTGGAAATAGAGCAACCCTCAAATCTCCCATTGATTAAAGATACTCCTACAATGATTTTGGGAATGGATGTTTCTCATGGCTCCCCTGGTCGATCAGATATCCCATCAATTGCTGCGGTAATTAATTTCTGATATTTTTTAAAGTATTATAACTATTCCCTTTATTTGGTGATATGCCATATAGTCTAATTTTTGCTACTATGTTCTAACGTAAACTTTCAGGTTGTTGGTTCGCGTTGTTGGCCTCTGATTTCAAGGTACAGAGCATCTGTGAGAACACAATCACCAAAGGTGGAGATGATTGAAGCTTTATATAAGCCATTACCAAATGGAAATAATGATGATGGTATTATCAGGTAGTCTAGTAAAAAACCATATCCAGAACTCCATATGTGGTGATTGCTCTTCTCTACCTCTGAGGGCTTTGATATGGATTATTGAAGTATAATTTTATGATAATATAATATAATATTTTGATTTTATTTTTATATGATTTTGAAAACTTTTCTATTCATGTGGTTCTCTCATAAACAAGATCAAGATGACTTTTTCAGAGTTAATGAAATAATCAACATTTTTCAATCCATCTCTGAAGTCATTTCTTTATTATTATATGTTATATACTTATTTAATTTTAAATGCCAGAATGAATAACATTACAATGTACTAAAAATGTAATTTAGATGGTACTGGTATGTTGGTCATAGATTTTATTTTTTACAATATTTGACACACCATTATTACTTATTTAACTTTATTTTGCCATGCTGAGTTGATACCACCAGGAATGTTATGTCACCTTGGCTTTTTTGGTATTGTAAAAGTAAAATGATGGATATTCTTTTGAGCTTAATGTAAATCCAAAATTGTTTATTTGTAGGGAATTGCTTGTAGATTTCTATAAGACGAGTAACGGTCACAAACCAAAACAGATTATTGTCTTCAGGTTTGTACACTCTTATGTTTGTGGATTTTCAGTCATTTTATTTCATTGATTTTGGAACAAGAGTTAGATCGTTGGAACTGAAGTATCCTCAGACCTTAAAAAATGAGAAAAAAAGCATGTCGTCCTTTTACTGGTTTTTTAAGCTTGTACACTAGGTTCAGCAATGGAGTGGGGGGTAAAGTTGCCATTTAGTATTTTATTTTTGTTTGTGTGCCCGTGTTGGTTTGTATGCAAGAGATTATATTGTTGTTTCTTAAGATGTGAAACAAAAAAAGGAAATCATTGTTTCATATTTCTTGTATGAACCAGTCATATACACTTTGCAGTACTGGCTTAAACAATTTTATTCATATTTGGTTAAAGATGGTCACTATGCCTTTTATTTATCATTGCATCTGATAGGTTGCTTTTGGATTTCCTTTTGTTTTTCATTCTGGTGTACTTTTATAATACTTCATTGCCTAAATAATTGATTTTGATAATTTTCATAGGGATGGAGTAAGTGAGTCTCAATTTAACCAAGTTTTAAACATTGAGCTGGAGCAAATCATTAAGGTAGGTTCTGGGACTCTAGCTTATCTTTTTATCACTACACCCACCATCTCCCAGGGGAAGGGGAGGGTTGCAGTTGCGCATTCATTGATGTTTTTAGAGGGCGGTTGGATGTGCTATGTTTTAGTGCCTTTGTCTGGCTTTCTTGTCCAGAGCATTTTTAGGTTTTCAGATTTGACTAAGAGGTGGTTCACAGTTTTTTATTTTCTTGATATAATAGTTAATTCTTAGATAGTTAAACTTCCATTGTACAGGCTTATCAGCATCTGGGGGAGACTGATGTTCCCAAGTTCACAGTAATTGTTGGTCAAAAGAATCATTACACTAAATTATTCCAAGCTAATTCCCCTGAAAATGTTCCTCCAGGTTTGCTCCTGATATTTAATTTTCTTATCTAGTTTGACACTTTGTTAATTTACTCTCTCCTTCTCTCCTCCTCAGGAACAGTTGTGGACACAAAAATTGTGCATCCAAGAAACTATGATTTCTACATGTGTACTCATGCTGGGATGATTGTAAGTTCTATTGCTTACTAATATTATCGGTATTTTCTATTTTATCTATTTTGGTTGGCAATTAAATAAGCTTTTGGTTGATATCCATCCAATGTTATGAAAAATGTGGTAGTATTTCATTTGATCTGAATATATACATGTACATACATATCAGTTGGTTGACATTTACTGTGCCTATTCTGTTAATATTATACCAACTTTTAGGAAAAAATTTGCCAACTCCATTGCATTGTTTCTCCTATAACAGGGAACATCTAGGCCAGCTCATTACCATGTCTTGCTTGATGAGATAGGCTTCTCTCCTAATGACTTACAGAATCTTATCCAGTCTTTGTCATACGTGTAAGTTCTCATTCTCCATCTGTGTATCTACCATTGGAGAAGGTACCAAACCTTTGCAATTGACTGTTTATTATAACTTTTTACCTAATGCAGATACCAAAGGAGCACAACTGCTATCTCAATTGGTAATTTCCCTGTATCCTACCCTAGTTTCATGGTTAGAAAGACATTTCTATCAATTAGCTTAATCATTATTTTCATTATTATTTCTTGATCTTGGTTTTTTTCCCCTTATTCCTTCTCCAGTGGCTCCTATTTGCTATGCCCACCTTGCTGCACAGCAGATGGGACAGTTTTTGAAGTTTGAGGATCTGTCAGAAACATCTTCAGCACACACGACATCTGGAGGAAGTATCCCCATTCAAGACCTTCCCAGGTTGAATAAGAAAGTGGCAGGCTCAATGTTCTTCTGTTGAGGATCTGCTGCTACTGGTTACTAATTTTGGTAAACAGCTGCTAACTGTAGAATGTAGATAGTTTGGGTGGCTAGGGTATACATACATTAGGCGGCAGGCAACCCCGGGTTTTTGCTTCAGTGGGTTGGAGATTATATATATATATATATATATATGAGTTCTTTACAAAAACAAATCAACATTTTTGCATTAACCATTTGAAAAATGCTTAGAGATGTTAAGTGAGTTACATTCTTTCTTTTTAATTTTGTTTAGGAGTATAAAACATCATATATTATATTTAATCTCAGTTCGTTACTGCTTATTGATTGCATATTTTCTACTCTTTCTACTAAAAATTTTCCATGGCTTTTGCTCATTTGTTTTTTCGACGTTGGCTTCTAACTGGCTAACTCTAATGATCCTGCCACCGGTTAGAAGTTTCAATCTGATAATTATACTCTGTGAATAAGGCTTATCATTTGACATTGAGCTTAGAAAGAGATGGTGGTGTGACTTTTAGCCTGTTATTGCTTTGCATCTTTCATAATTAGGGAGCTGTTGAAAAGACGCACATCTCAGGTATTGATTGTAAAAGTAAAAAGCATAAATGGAATTTACTGTATTTTTTTTAATTGATTATAAATTGCTTTTATGGCTTTGCTTTTAACTTCCTTGACCAGTTTCCAACTCTCCTTTACTTTGAGTAGAAAGGGTGATAATTGCCTACTTTCACCTATTGCTTTCAATTTGTCTCTACACGTCCATTTTGGACCACTAAGAGTGCTGCAATTTTCCAATGTTCGTTAGTTTTAAGGTTTTAGGGGCATTGGTATGTGCATTTCATGAAACATGTTTATATATATATATAAAAAAAAAGTTAAATTGATGGTCCACTCCCTCTTTAAAAGCTCTTTGCAAGTAGAAATTTATTTGAATTAGAGGCGCATAAATCAATATGGACTGCCCGGTCTTGAGTTTTGAATTTTTGATTTAGATCTTGAAATGTATGGATCATGTATAAGATAACCTGATGAAAAGCAAGTTTATAACGATTTAAATGAGAGTTTAAAATTTTTGAATAATGAATATAATTATGGTTTTTAAAATTTGAATCAAATTTTTATATAATTTGAATTGAATTTTATATTTATTAATTTTTAAATTTAAAATTAAAATATTTATATATTATTTGAATATGATTTTTAGTATATTTAAATAAATTTAAATATAAAATAATTGTTTTATTTTATAAAAATTTAAAAATATATAAAATTAATAAAAATATATAATTTGATTTTATTTTTTACTTTTTAATTTAAAATTTGGTTTGAATTTATTATATTTAAAGTTAATCTGAATAAAAAATTGATTTAAATTAAATCAAATATTATAATTTTAAATTAATTTTCGATTTTTTTTTCACACGTAATAGAAAGCCACATGAAACAAATAACAAAGGGAAGGAAAAAAAAAAGAAAAAATCTTGAGCCCAACGACCAAGACAGAGCAAGCAGCAAAGCCCTTTAGTCAAGTGGGTCAGTCTTGGTAGCCAGAAACTTGCTGCTTCGTCTTGACTTGGGTTGCGTCATGGTCCCTCATTGGTGTGTTCAGCACGGATACGTTTTACCCTTCACTCTCTTGGGGCGAAACTAAGCCTTTTGGACAATAATGCCTTCTTTCCCACAAAATTAAAAAAACTTTAACATAAATGACCGTTTTACCCTTATATTATTTACTCGTATATCTCTCTATCTTTTGTTATATTAAAAAAAAATGTCATCACACCCGCACGGTTCATCAATTGGAATATCTCTTATCCTAGAAATAGGCACGTGACATTACAGGTTTATTTTTTTAATTTTTTTATATTTTAAATGAATTTTAATTTGCAATAATATTAATTTTAGTTATAATTATTATAAATATATAATATTAATTTATTAACAAATAACTCGCATTTGTATTATATTCAATTAAATTTAACAAAAATTAAATAAGTTCAATAATTTAAAATTTTAAAATTAATGCATTAACTAATATTCTTCACTTAAAATAAAAAATACTATGATTAAATTGCAACTTACAATGTTTACAAATATATCATAAAATTTTATGCTTTCAAATCATTGATTTTTTTAAAATTTTTTTTACATTTTATTTTTAAATAAATGTTACCTATCAAGATCAACACTGCCATATGATGTAAAAAGTTTTAATATAAAATTATAAATTTAGGGGTTGAAAGATATTTATGGTGTTGATATATTAAAACAACAATGAAATTACATTTTTTATGCCATCAGTTTATTTTCCAAAAAAAAAAATAGAATAAAAATTATTTTATAATTATTGGATTTTAAAATTGCAACTATCATATTAAATCAAAAGAAACAATAAAAAACAATTACTCCATTAGTTTATGCTAATGCCCGTTATTTAATGCATCATGTGTAAATGGTCTCAATGAATAACTACTCATACCTACTAACCATTTTCTTTTTAATCCTTCCTGCAACCTAAGCTCTCCACAGTTGGTCTTTGAGGTCCAAATTAAATTTTGTTCATTAATATTAGCTTTTACACGTACCTTAGCAAAATTATTGATTTTTTTTTTATATTTAAAATTATCAGATATCAAACTTAATTATAAAAATTAAAAATTTAATATTTTATTATTCACAAATTATTGATTTTAATTATCTAACTTTATGTAATACGAAAGTAACTTTGAATATTTATAATTGAATATAATAAAAAAATTAAATAGTTGAAATAAGACACAAAAACATGTCTCAAGGAAGAATTCCTCCCTATCCTCGTTCCTACGAAGATCTTGCTTCCTATCATTTTCTTTTAAAAATTTTTAAAAAATATATTTAAATGGTTAATTTAAATAGAAATAATTTTGATTTAATACCCATGAATATTAAATAATAAAAATTATGACTACCATAAATAAAATAAAAGAAGTCCAGGCTTGTTGAGAGATTAGATTAAAGAAATTGAGATTAAAATAAAAGTCAGGAGTTGATGATGACATATTGAGAGAGAAATAAAGACCAGATTCTTATTAATTGGTGAATGTACAAAATTAGACCCATTTTATGTTTATATTAGATATTTTGGAGATGATATTTTTATCTTTATATTTATTTAAAAAATCATATAATATAAAATATTAAAAAATTATTAAAATAATTTTGAGTGAAATTGGCATTCTTATTTTTCATAAAAAAAAACCCCTTCTGCTCAAAAAGATTTTTTTAAGGAATTAGGACAAAAACCAAGGGCTATTTTTGTAATTTCATAGTCACGTTGTTGACTATTGGTCCGAAGAGCACTTCCCTCGCGAGTAAGTCTCCGGCCATGTCTAGTCGCACTCACTCACTCTCTTTCAGTCAGTCTTTCTTCCCTCTTTATGGGACCCACTAATCTTAGCATACCGAATCCGAGACATAGCTCGTTTCTTTTACCCGGTCTAAGGATCCGTGGGTCCCACTCCTCCGAAATCGGATGGTCCAGACGGCATCGTCGCTCTTCTCCGTTTAACGGCGACGATTTGTCGCGTTTTTTTTTTTAGCCTTTTTGTCCCTAAAGGACAAGAAACTGAAGTAAATATAGATATTTCGCGCCTTGTCGCATCAACTAAACAACTTAAAAGACAGTTATACCCCTCTATCAACTATCGCGTGAACCATGTAACCCTGGTTAAGGGGTAGTTTCGTCTTCTAAAAGAAGCTTTTATACGAAGCTTTATGTTGGGTCCCATCGTAGATTTAAATCCACCGGTTCACACCTCATCGCCGCCTCCCAAGTTCGCGCGCTTTGACGGTGACGACGATTTTTTAATTTCTTTTAAAAATGAAATTTAAATTTGTATAAAAAAAAAGGAGTTGATATGCCGTAACTTTCACGCGTATTTTGTTTTCTGTCCACTGAAATTCAAAAGGACATAAACGCCCTCATTATTTTTATAAAAAATTGATCAAATTATATGTAATAATTAAAAAAAATACAAAATAATATAAAATAATATTTTAAAAATCTAACAAAAATATTATACAATATTTAATATATAAATGATACAATAAATTTAATATTTTATATGTAATTAATTATAAATAAATAAATACAATAATAGTCAAATTTAGATAAAACAAATCCTTTCGTTTTTTCATTTTACAATGACAAGCCAAACATTGCGGTTAATAACTGATATGGGCACTCGCGCCTTATATGGGCAATAATGTCTTTTCACTTCTCAAACCAAAAGAGAAATTAATATTGGTGGTACAAAGCCAGACGCTTACTGGAATTCCTTTCAAAATATTTGTACCCAAAAAAAATGCCCTTCGAAAATTTCCCTTACATCACTTAGAAGAAAAAGAATTTTATTTTTTCAATATCAAATTGGAATATTTTCCAGGATTTCACTTTTTGATTCTTTATAAACTTTCTTAGTTTCACAAAAAAAAAAAAATGTCTCTTATTTCCCTCTCTTGATCATCATCATCATTATCATTTTATCATTTTATTTAAAATAAAACATTTTTTATTTGAAAATTGGAAAAATTTGCCTTGATTTATGCCAAAAAATTAAAAATATTCTTCTGCTTATTTTTGGGTTTTTGATTGTTTTGATAAAAAAGTAACGGTTTTACAAAATTCTGTGCGACCACTACCGATGCCGGATAATCGGCAAGTTCAGAACAATGCAGTGTCGAATCAATCCGCTGAGAACTTTGAAGGTAGCATCGATTCTTTCTATACTCTTTGTTACTTCAAATTGTACAAAGATCTGATGCCACTTTATGTATGTATATATATTTTTACAATATTTTCGATGTGATCATTTTCCATCGTGATCAATGTTTTAAATTATTGTGAAAATTTTAAATTTCTATTCAGTAAGTGAAAAAAAAGTAGTTTTTTTTTGTGTTAAATTATAGTTTTAACAGATTTGGTTAAAAATTTTGTTATTTCAGTTGTTAAATGTGATGGCTTCTTTGGGGCAATCAAATTATAAGTTTTTTTTTTTTTTTTGCCTTTGAGAGATTCTAGTTTTGGTTAATTTGGGGATTTTCCCCATGTTTTCAGAAGCAATTTCGCGGTTGAAAATTAATGATAATAATCAAGAGGTGGGTGTTTCGAAATCAGCTTCTTACCCTGATCGTCCTGGTGAACCGGATTGTTCTTATTATTTAAGGACTGGATTATGTGGTTATGGAAGTAACTGTCGTTTCAATCATCCGGCTTATGATGCTCAGGTATTCAAGTGTTAGTTTTTCTTCTTTTTAAGTGGATGACATTCGGTGACTAATCATTTTCAAGATGTAAAATGAGTTGCTTCATTCTTGCTTTTGAGGTATAAAAGTTACACTGCCGTTGTAGTGGTTGATTATGTTGTTATTTGGTGCAGGGTGGGCAATACAGAGAAGAACTCCCCGAAAGAGTTGGACAGCCTGACTGTGGGGTATAAATACTGTCTCATTTAAGATTAGCGGGTCGCTGTAATTTACAAATTTGCCTTTTCTGGAGATGTTTGTGTTACCATTTGTTGCTGTTTTATACTGAACTCTTGCTGAGAAAAGGAAAGGCAACTAATGCGGCTTCGTCTTGGGAATAGATGTTATTTAATTGGAAACAATTATTTGGGAAATGAATGTTGAATGGTTCATTATTCAACTGAACTATGAAATATTTAGCTGTCATGAGTCATATGTCCAAGAATGTTTACATGATATACAGCAAAATCCAGTTTTCTAATTATGCTAGTCGTTATTTAGCTGTTGCTTTTATTATTGATTATGTAATATACTGTTGATGATACTGTTTCACCAGTGGGCAGCGGGACTATGCTCTTAATCTCTGGCCAAAGTTCTTTGTTAGAAGTTCTGCCACATATTTAAATATCTGTAGAAAGTGTCTTTTTCTTAATTTGTTGAGGTACATGCTATATAAATTTTATGAAAGTTATTTTCTTGAACGCGTTTTACTTGCATGCATATATAAGCATGTGCTTGTTGCTGATAAAATGAAATAGAGTATGTGTTCAATCTTTGATTGTTTTCTTTTTTCTTTTCTTTTCCAATCACTCCTTTTTAATCAGTTACTTGGATCAAGTCTTGCTTCTTAAATAACCTCTTTGGTTTCCTATAAACCACATGCTGCCAGGTGGCTTACAAGTCATTTGTTTTTTGGGCCTATGTTGACTGGCAAGTTTGATTTTTATATTTGTTTAGAAAGAAAAAGTGTATGATAGATTATGTTTTTCTCTGTATAGCATGCTAATGTTTCTTTTTAACCTAGTGAAGTAATGCATAACTCTTTTTTTCTAAAGAAAACTGATGTTGATGTAGCTCAGGGTCATGGTTGATTTGGTTGATCTGGGGCTTAACTGTTTGATATCACAGTTATGCTGTCTCTCTTTTTTTTTTTTTTTTTTAATTTTTCTTATCAGAGTATTTCTCACCGAAAGCTTTTTAATTTATAAATTTTCTCTGAATGTGCTTTACAGTACTTCTTAAAGACAGGAACTTGCAAATATGGATCAACATGTAAATATCATCATCCAAAGGACAGGAATGGGGCTGGACCTGTTACATTAAACGTTCTTGGTCTTCCTATACGTCAGGTGATTTCTTTTTCTCCTCTTTGATGTGCTTACTTGACCACGTGTTGTCTCATGCTGTCTCTGTATTTATCAGGATGAGAAATCATGCCCTTATTACATGCGGACTGGGTCATGCAAGTTTGGAATTGCATGCAAGTTCCATCATCCCCAGCCTGCATCACCTGGGGCTGGCTTTCCTATAAATGGACTTGCAGGATCAGTGATTTTGCCATCATCAGGTGTGCCATATGCTGGTGGATTAGCCACGTGGTCATTACCTAGGGCACCATATGTCTCTGGCCCGCGTTTACAAACCCAAAGCTACATGCCTGTTGTTGTTTCTCCTTCTCAAAGCATAATACCTGCACATGGCTGGAGCACCTACATGGTAAGTGAATAATTTTTTTGTTATGTCTATCTGAAATTCTGACTCCAATGTAATGTGGTCGTTAAAAGCTAATCTCTTTGAGGTGCAGTCATTCCAGGGTGTTCTTTTGATAGTGTAAAATACAATATATTGGACTGATTTAGAAAATTCGTGAAATTTAAATATTGCACTTGTCCAAAAGAAAGCCACATAAAGATGCTTTTCTATGCAAGCATAAACATTGTTTTGATCTCCTTGACTTTTGATTCACTGTATCATCAGATTGCTAAATTTGATGTTGTGTTTTCAATTTGCTGGATATGAGAATAATGTGATGCCAGCAAAATCTCAGCATTTTTAGGTAAAAAAGTGATGTGGTCTTGATTATTATAAAGTGGTTTTATGAACTTTCTTTTACCACAGGCAACTAAGACCTGAAGGGTCGGTCCAAAGTTTATTCTGCATGTACTTAATGTTTGTTTGAAATACTTATAATGTGCTTTTTCTTATTTGCTGATGACATATTATCATTTTTTGTTAAAGACTTATGATGTCCATTTTCTTCACTTGGTCTGTTTTAAACGTTGTAATTGGCTAATAAATGAAATTTCTATGTTCATGATGGCTACATCCTTAATGCATTTCTGTAACATTTGTCAATGTCCTTCTCAAAAGGTATCTCACTGGATGTGACATCTCACTGGATGTGACTGTCATTGGAGAGGCTATGATAAAATTACCTGGTCTTGGCTCCATTCTTTTATATAGAATTCACTCACTATTAGATGTATTATTTTCTTTCTCATAAGTACAACTTTATGACACATTTGATGTCATCACTTTGTTCAATTGCTGTCTGAACTGCTTGCTGAGCAAGTCTGAGAAGGCGCGCTTTTGTGATGTTCACCATCTTTAGGAAATTGGATGGTCTACTTTCTCTTCCTTTTTGCTCTCCTAGTAAACTAAAAATGATTAACTGTGTTGCTCACACAAGTGACTGCTGTCTAAACCAAACTTAATTTTGTATATCCATAAAATTTTCTTCTGCATGTCATTCATTGCTCCTTTGTGGAGATTACTGAAGTTCTGTAGAGGTAGTTCACTGTAGCTTATGTGCACTTGCAGCAATTGTTCTGTGTAGTTGCCTGTTCATTATGGCTTATATTATTATAGGCTTTAAATCCTAAGGATGAATGTGACAGAGCCACCAAAAGTTTGCCATAACTTTGAGTCTTTAAAGTAGTATGTAATTGATTGCAATATCCTGATATCCTACATAGAGTAACCTATATGCTCTTTATTGCCTTGACAAATGTATTCAACAGTATGCTGCAACTATAATGCCTTATACAACATGTTTGTGCTTTTCTAATTTTTTATGCATTTTGATAAAAAAGAATTGTTTATAGGTGGCTCATGTAGATTGGAATTTCTTTTCTTATTCTATCTCATTTTTGTCTATTGTAATTTAATTCTGGTCAGGGAAATATGAGCCCTATATCTTCTGCTGGTATTCTTGGATCCACTTATGCTTACAACTCAATGAATCCCGCTGAGTCGGGTTCTAGTGGACAGGTGCTCTTATCATCAACATCTGCTTCAAATTTTCCTGAAAGACCTGATCAACCAGAATGTCGGTATTATATGAACACTGGCACTTGCAAATATGGATCTGATTGCAAGTACCATCATCCGAAGGAAAGGATTGTAAATTCAGTGGAAAATGGTATTGGACCACTTGGGCTTCCTGCGAGACCTGTAAGTTTCCTGTCTATTTTTAACATGGTCAGGTATTTAACTAGATATCCTTTCAGGTGAATGAGTTTGGACGAAGGAATTCAGATGGCCATTTCTAATAATTTCATCATTCATAATCAGTTTGCTTGTGAAATATATTTTTTTCTTTTTGCAAAATAATTATGTTAACTATTTCCCGTTCTTCTATATGTAGGGGCAAGCTGTTTGTTCTAGCTACACTATGTATGGGTTCTGCAAATATGGGCCAACTTGCAGATTTGATCACCCTTATGTGGGATATCCTTCTAATTATGGTCTAAGCCTGCCTTTATCTGTGTTTGATACATCGCCCCTTACATATCAAAGAATGTCACCAACAGCCCATTTATCTGAAGCTCCTCTGCCATCAAAGCTTCCTGATTGGGCACGGAACACTGGCTCTGTGAGCAAGAAACATCAGAACTTGGAGACTAAGAATTCAGACAATCCACCTGAACGGGCTACTTCTCCACAGCATTCTTTGCGGAGTTCTTCCAAAACCTCACATGATTAAACTGATTTAATCAGTCATTTTGTTATCTCTGAACTTGTCCCTTTTGTTAATTTGTACCCTTCCAAGGAGACTTTCATCATATGTACCTCCTGCACCCCTTTCATCTGTGATCCGGCAGAGTGTTTTATGTTGTTTGGATATTTGCTTTGAGCAAAATACTTGGAGACCCGGGAGGGGGGGGGGAGGCATTTTTTTGTGGTGAATAAAGTACAGGTGAAAAGTTGTAAGATCCTTTTTCCTTGTCGGAGTTATGTCATCAGGATCTATACTTTCATTGTTAATAGTCACTAGAATGTTTTAGTTTGATTGCGATGGTTGAGTCTTACTTAAATGGTAAGCAGTTGGCAGCTTAGGTCCATTTTATATCTGCAAGAACTGAGTAGACCTATGACTGAATTAGGCTGATGAAGCCTTTGATTTATGCTCTAGTTATGGTAAGTTGGTAGAAGGCCATGAAGGTTTGAGATAAATGGTAGCAAAGATCTTGTTGGAACTCTATAAAAGATTTCAGCTAAAGAAAGTAACTTTAGGTGACTAATGGTTGGAGGTGGGCGAATCAGAAAATATACATGTAGGAATTTATATTTTAGACGCCATTGTTCTTCTAGTTTGTTAAGAATGGCAAACGAAGAGATGAACTATGTTGGGGAATGCATGTATATGAAATAAAGGTTATGTATAAATATGCTTTCAAACCCCAGCATATGACATGAGAAGCATTCCAAAAGACCTTCCTCTTTTTCTTGGCTATGTAGGAAAGAAAATGATGTGAAGAGTTTGGTGAATGACCTCAAAGGTCATGACGAAGGCAAGCTGGTTATAGCATACAGAAAGGGCTAAGCTCATGCAGATTTTATTCATGGTGTGAATGCTAAGTAAAACGAAGTGTTCATGAATAGTACAATCAGTAACAGATGAGTTCTAAACAGACAAATTCTTAACAGCTAGATTATGGAACTTATTCTCAAGGTAGAGATGTCAGGTGTGAAGTCAAGTAGCAATAAGGAAATTGGACCACAAGGCTAATGGTAATGGTAGGTTGAACACAATTCATGTGCCGTGAGTCTGTAGGGCCTAAATGCATGCTATTTCAGTATGGTCCTAGACGGTGCAACTGATGAAACTTGGAAATTAATGCAGGTAATGCAAATGATCATTTGCAGTTCATATGCCAAACTTTCTTTGATGATCACTTCTTGCAATTAGGCAAATCATCCCATCAACAAGAAACAAGCGATGATAATACTTATATAATGCTTCTTTCTCTAATTTTTATTTCTTATAGATTGTAATTATAGAAGAAAAGGCTGAGATAGATATATGAAACTAATACCAGCACTGCTTTTTTTTCTTTTTTTTTCCTTTTTGGGTTCTTGTCAAAGACAGATATTTTGCCTAAAGAGTGAAGTGATTCTGAGCTGTAATGTGAGCTGCTACAAAAGGATCCATACAATAATCTCCAGGGTGATGATGACCCTTTTTCCTTTGTGATGACAAGAAGAGCTCCTCACAGCGAACAGCTCGAGGGGTTGAAACTGAAACTGCATTTGCCTTTTCAGAAGTAGCTGTAGGAGACCTTAATATTTTCTTCAGCATTCTACCATATTTGGTGAGCCACCCCATTCTCTCACCCTTCTCATCATCTGCTTTGTTTCCCATGATTTAATTTCTTCTCTGTATCTTGATCTTGAGCAATTCCTCCCCCTACCAATTCCAAGTTTTAATAATACTTGAAATCACATGCAAAATGTGTAAAACTTTTGGGGGAGTGCTTTATGATTCGTCTTTTTTGCTGTTACCAACATGAATGTGAAGAAGCCGCATTGTCTCGTCTCTTTCTTGCCTTTTGAAAGGATGTTACGCAATCAATGTCTCAATCTGTTAGATTATTGAGAGAGAGTCCCTAAAATCAAAGCAAAAGCAATGCAAAAGCTGAAACTGATGCATACTGGCTTACAACATCCTAACGTAACCTAGCGGTTATGGCATACCGTGACCGTTGCCAACCCAACCAACGTTTGAAATGTGAGAGAGAGAAGTAAGCTCAGCTCACGCCATCTCCGACGCATGCTAATGCCATGGGAAGCATATGTGGATTACACTTAAACTAAACGATGTCAATGGGGCGTCCGACCGGCTCTTAACAGTTCCATCCGATTCTGTCCTGAATTTGATATTAGATTATTATCTTTGATATTCAATTTTGATTATATATATAATTTTGTAAAATTTGATTTGATTTAAAATTAATTTAATAATTTTTATGAAAAAAATATTTTTAATAAATATTATATTTTAATTATATAAATATAATATTTTATTAAATTAATTTTTAATTAAAATATTAAATAATAATTTTATTAATATAAAATATATTTTTATATATCTAAAAGCAAAGCACTTTAGATTCACTTCCAACTCGTCTCAACTATTTTTATATAAAAATTTATTTTATCTCGATTCAACCTGTTGATACCAAAGTGTAATTACTTCCCATTTTACCGTAAGCTTAGGCTCATCTTTTTCTCAAACAAATACACCCTTAAAAAGCTCCATCTCAATTAAAAAAAAAAATTTATAAAATCGAAGCTAATCAAAATCTATCATATAATTTATTTATTTTATCATTCCTAATTAGATTGACATTTATAATTTTTAGAGATTTAAGTTTTGATAATCATATGTACCAAAATCTTAAATTTTTGAACATATATATTTTTTGTGAACGCACCCTAAAAAATATTTTCACTTTCAGGAATATGAGATCAAATGTATAAGGCATAGAGTTATTTTTGTAAATTTAAATGCTGTTTAATTATTATTTTATTCTTTGTTCTTTGAAAAAACGCAAAGGAATTTGAATTCAGGAAGACCAACCCAATCCTATGAAAAATGCGTAGCAGCGTACACGTGTCAGTAATAGGCGTTAAAAGCACGGTAATTCCATTTTCCGCATCCCCGTCCAACAAATGAAAACTTACTTTTGTTGCATAACAAATAAGAAGTTTCTCTTATTATTTATAAACGTAGCGAGCGGACGTGGTGGAATCTCATTGGCGAGCACACGTAGCTTCCTCTGAGACGAAGGGTTTTTCTAGTCTACACCGTCCAGAGAGGTTTCTGGTCCGAGAGTGATTCAATCTGGGCGAGAAAATTCACGAATTCCCGAGAAAGTGCCGGAAAAAAAAGAATGAGTAGATCACGATCACCATTGTTAATAGCTTTATCATTTCTCTTCATATTCTTCAGCGTCTCTAACGCTCTTTACGGACCGTCGTCGCCAGTGGTTCAGCTCACTCCTTCTAATTTCAAGTCTAAGGTAAATCCTTTATCCTTCGCCATTTATTGGAAAAAATTCGAAGAAAAGAATTGAAAAGAAAATGGAGCATATAAATTTGTGTTCAGTTAAATGAAATGCATCATTTTGTTGGATCACAAGACTCAAGAAATTTAATACAATTAGAAATGAGTTTATTCTTCAGAAATTTGTCACTTAATTAGGATTTTATTACAAAATGCCTTTGTTTTGTTTTTAAAATTTTAATTTATCTAAATATATTAAGAATTTGGTCATTTCTCAAGCTTAGACTAATGATTCAATATTCAAGTTCTCTACTTTTTAACTTTTTCTTTGAATTTGAGCAATGATTTCTATTTACGCCATTCAATAGCCTAATGAGTTTTTATTAGGGACACAAATGGAGCATAGCATTTTCGTTGCTGAAACACCTTTTACTTAGATTTGGTTTTTGCTTATTTCTTTAGTATTTCAAGAAGGGAAAGAGTCAAGCTTTTCCTGGAGAATTGGTTATTGATTGAGATTTTTGAATTGTGACAGGTTTTAAATTCGAATGGAATTGTTTTGGTTGAGTTCTTTGCGCCTTGGTGTGGTCATTGTCAAGCTTTAACGCCTACATGGGAGAAGGCAGCCAATGTCTTGAAAGGAGTTGCTACTGTGGCAGCCCTTGATGCTGATGCTCACAAGTCCCTTGCTCAGGTTTGGGGAGTTTAAATCTGTCAGCCACACTTTTTTCCTTAAATCTGAGATGTAATCTAGGTTCTACTTTGTTGGTCCGCTATTTGTTGTTCAACAAGCAGTAAAGTAGTTTGCATATATTTCCTTGTGCTGTCTAAACTTCATTGGCAGTTCTTCCCTTAATTAGGGATTCTTTTTTTGCCGAAAACTGTAAATATGGAAATGATATGAAATCCCAGACTTTATCACAATTTGAATGGGATTGTCAGTTTCGCTTAAGTATGTAGTATAAATTCTTTTGTCGCTGCTAATTTTATGTGCTTATAGAGACTTTCTTCTGATTGCTACACAGGAATATGGGATTAGCGGATTTCCTACAATAAAGGTGTTTGCCCCTGGAAAGCCTCCAGTTGACTATCAGGGAGCTAGGGATGTCAAACCTATTACAGAATTTGGCTTCCAGCAGGTTTGTTACAGTATGTTGAATGATTGAAGAATCACAATTTTATTGGATCATAAATGCATTGTGGCTAGATGATGTTGTTATCAATTAATTTGAATCTGTTACTATTTTAAGATGGTTCATTCCATCCTTCACAGGCCATTATCTATCAAATAAGATGGGAGTGGTCTTGTAGTGACAACGATCTGCATTAGTGCATAGTTTCACTTTGAGATGAGAATTACTGATATCTGACAATATGTTGCTGAATGAAAGGGTTGATAATATTTGAATGTCATGTGCTATGCAAATGCTACTCTGTGTTTTGCCAAATGCATTTACATTGGACATGTAGCGGACACTATACATTTTAACATGCTATCAGCATATGTACAAGGGAAAACATATGGAAATTGAACAATATGCTTCTTATTTCTCAGACACCTTCCTACATCCTACAGCTTGAATGTGATCCCAATCAACTTAGGTCATATGCCAGCTTGTATGGTAGGATTTCTCATCGATATTAATTTCATGAGATTATTCTACATTGGAAAAGTTGTGTTTAGATATCTAAGTTGGGTGCCAAACATGGACAAGGAGCTCATATCTGTGCAAAAATGAATGTCTCTCATGGTCCCATTTTCTCTATCAATTAGGCTAATCTCTCTGTCTCTGATCAATTAAGAATTTGATACTTACTTTTAAAACTCGAAAGTGATAATCATGTGTACCACTTTTATACTGCTATTAAACATTCTATCTAAGACTTGAGTTTAATTATTAGGAACTATGATGAATTATACAGGTAAAGGCACTTTTGAAAGACCGTTTGGCTGGTAAAGCATCTGGAGAATCAAGTGAGAAATCTGAACCTACTGCAACAGTAGAATTGAATTCCCGCAACTTTGATGAATTGGTGCTCAAAAGTAAAGAACTCTGGATTGTGGAGTTCTTTGCACCTTGGTAAGCCTGCTTAATTATTAATCTAGCACTCATCAAGAAATGGTGCTTCACTAGTATCACTGTACATGCACATGCATGCAAGTGTGAAATGTTGTTTATGTTTCTTGTGATGTAAAACATACTTTAATTCTGTGTTTGTTGTTAAGGCATTATATTCTGTGTTTGTTGTTAAGGCATTATATGCTTTCTTTCCTTAAAAAAATCAAGAAAAGAAAAGAGAAGGCTTATTGGCATGGAATTTGCAAGTTCTGTGTTCAGCTCTATCTCTGCAGATTTCAGCATAAGCTAGTAAAGTTTCTTAAGAGTTAGAACAGTGAACTCTTTTAACAGAACCAAGGTTTTCTCAGGAATCTGAGCAAGCTAAAAGTAAGTTGATACTTGGTGATTCTTAGGCATACAGGTGTTGAGGAGCTTATTATGAATAGAAATAAATCAAATCTTCAAAATTTCATGATATTTTTTGTGTAGTTGTTTTGTTCAAGATAGCCATATGTTTTAAATTAATTCATCAACAATATGATATTGCAACCTTCTGTTTGGAAGATGTTAATGGGGTGTTATTTATTTTTTTTTCAAATGTTGTTCGAAACATATGGTATTGAATTTACTAAAGACAAATAGATAAAAACAATTGTATATGAAGTCTGTATCTATCTCTAAAGTTGTAAATTTTGATATAGAATAAATAAATAAATAAATATATATATGTATATATATATATATATATATATAAATTATGCAATGGATATCATACAAAATTGGTAGGATTCAGTTCAATAGTCTATATAATTGGTTAAAATATTTTTTACATAAAATTTTGCACATAACCTATTTTATGCTTGCTAACATAGTTCTTTAGTTTTCTAGTTCTAATCTTCTGATTGTGGTGATTAATACCATATAAATACTTCCTTAAAGGTGTGGACACTGTAAAAAACTCGCTCCTGAGTGGAAGAGGGCAGCTAATAACTTGAAGGGGAAGGTGAAACTTGGTCATGTTGACTGCGATTCTGAGAAGGTACTGTTTAAATATAATTTTACTTGGAAGAGCTGTGGTTCTAATCAACTTATTCACAACTTTGGAATTAGAAATTTGTGCAGTTGGTTTTTTCCTTAATTTCTTTGTGGTTTAAACTTGATATTGCAAGGTTATGACCATCTAATGTTGCCATGCCCACAAAACCACTTTGTGTAAAGGTTATTAGAACTAAATAAGAGGCTTCTCTATTTTGGACATCACATTTCCACTCCTCGCGAAACATTTTCAGAGTAGAAAAAAGATTATTTCTTTTTTCCCTTTATTGGAACTTTTGGATGCATATGTTTTGATATTATTGTTTTAACAATGGGATGTGGTTTGCAGTCTCTCATGAGCAGGTTCAATGTGCAAGGGTTTCCTACCATCTTAGTATTTGGCGCTGACAAAGACAGCCCAACTCCTTACGAGGGTGCAAGAACTGCCTCTGCAATTGAATCATTTGCTCTAGAGCAGCTTGAAACAAATGTTGGACCTGCTGAAGTGACGGAGCTGACTGGCCCAGTAAGTCTCACACTCTCTCCTTAAGTAGAGTTTATTCATTTTGGAACTATTGAGTTGTTTACTGAGAAATACAATCTATACAAATAGGATGTCATGAAGGAGAAATGTGGTTCCGCTGCCATTTGCTTCGTTGCTTTCTTACCCGACATTTTAGACTCCAAGGCAGAAGGAAGGAACAAGTACCTGGAGATGTTATTGTCAGTTGCAGAGAATTTTAAAAGGAATCCTTACAGGCAAGTACAAGGAAGTTAACATCAATGCTTTTCTCCTGTTATTTTATTATAATTTTAAAGTTATTCTCGCTCTCTCTCTATCTGTGTATTTGTCTGTTTTAAGAGAAGCAAAGAATTTTTTATTTTTTCCTAATGACGATTTCTTCCCCTGCAGCTATGTTTGGGCTTCTGCTGGTAAGCAGCCAGATCTTGAGAAGCGTGTGGGAGTTGGTGGGTATGGTTACCCAGCTCTTGTTGCCTTGAATGTGAAGAAAGGAGCATATGCTCCACTCAAAAGTGCATTTGAGCTTGAGCATATCATGTAAGTGTGTTTTTTTTCCTGCTTGATCCTGAATATTGTAACCTCTGTGAATGAACAAAATCTTGAATCGGCAAAAGTTGTGTTGTTTTGCAGCGGGTTTGTGAAGGAAGCAGGGCGTGGGGGCAAGGGCAATTTACCTTTGGAGGGCAGTCCTGACATTGCAAAGACGGAACCATGGGATGGTAAAGATGGAGAGATGATTGAAGAGGATGAGTTCTCCCTTGAAGAACTCATGGGAGAAGATACAACAAGAAAGGATGAGTTGTGATAAATTGGAAATAGAACAGAGCAGCGAGGAACAAGACTTTGATGTTACGAGTAATGTGGTTTCACTAATTGAGCGGTATTGAAGGACTTATTTTTCCATATTGGAATGGGACTCTTGCTATCAATGTTCTCAAGTCCATTGTCGTTATCTAATATAATGTAACCCTTTTTCCACGTCTTTCTCAATGATTAATTGATGATCAAACCATGTCTTTAACACCCTAACATACAATACCATCGAAGAAGCCCTCAAACTTTTCTCCCATATGAACCCCAAAAATTCATTTTCTCCGACAGTTGTGAAAGCGGCAAAATCTGCGATGCACTTCGGCTGTTCGACCAAATGCCTCATTGAAACCTAGTTTATTGGAACACAATGATTGTTGGGTTCTTACACCATGACAGAGTTAATGAAACTCATCGACCGTTCGTTAAAATGCCTAAAAGAAACGGATTCTCTTTTACTCTAATGATAACTTGTTTTAAACGTTAAGGGGAGATTGAAAAGGCTAGAGAATTGTTTGATTTATTTCTTCATAGACCTGACGTGATGTGGTTTGTTGGAACGCTAAATATTGGAAAGTATGGTAAGAAAGGAAGAGTCGATGACGCTAAGAGATTGTTTGGGAAATGCGGGTTAGGAATGTTGTTTCTTGGAATTTGACGTTAATAAGGAAGTGCGTTTGGGAAGCGAGTTTCATGGAATTTGATGGTTGATGGGTTTATCGTTGGTTAATAAGTAACTTTTGCTCTTTGCATTTTATTAATTTTTTTTGTTTTTAATTAATTTTTTATTTTTTACTTTTGACGTTTTATTTAAAAGAAAAAAAAAAGCTAAAATACGAGCCAAACAAAACCTGAAAAGTTAGTAAATAAATTTCAATGGAGGCAAAATTAAAATTTTTCTTAAAACTTGTGGCAGTTACATAAAACAACCCAAAGAGCTTTTACTATTTTAGAGGGGCAACCGCATCTATTGCCCCCCGTTACAAACCCGTCTTTGCAAGTAACATACCGGCGATTGCTAACTGTTGGGTTTCCTTTTTTTCTCTTCATTTGGCCATTTTGCCTTCTTTTCCCTTTCCGGTTTTTCTTCAAACTGACGCTTGTATGTCACAAAAGTCCCAAGCAAACTGTAACTCCTACTAACTGACGTTTTCTATCTGCCATAGGTCCTGGACTCTGCTATCTCTTCAACTGAATGTTGTTTTGATTATATTGCTTGTTATGGGAAATAACAATGTCCAGTTTATTTAAGCCATTGGAAAATTATACCAAAACTCAATTAGGAAGGTCAACGGAATGACAAGATTGTATCGATGCATTGAATAAATTTTAAGATAAAATTCTAAATTCATTTTGTTGTCAAGGAATATTAAAAAGCAATATTATTTTTTTTTTCTCACATATGATAGCACACGTCTTGATAAAATATTGAATTTTTTATTTTAATAAACACATTCAAATCTTGACCATTTAAAAAAAAAAAAAAAGCTTTGGGGTTTAACGATAAGATAGCTAGCATCTCCATTTATGTGGGTATTGCAATCGGAAGGCAATAGCACTAATCCAAGTGTTTTCATGAGATAGGATGCTTGGAAATCTAATCTTCAAATTTGCCAAGTCCACCTTAAGACCAGCTCAACTCTAACAACATCCCTGAAGGGCTGAAGCCACATATTTATATTACTCCTTATAAATAGTAAGCAAAAGCTGTCTTCAAATCTTCAGTACTGCTGCTCCATTCCTACTCATAAGCAAACACAAGAAGAAGAGGAAAAAAAAATTATTTGCCACAATCCCAACAATTCAGAAGAATCAATCACTATTTTTTAGCATTTCAAAAAAAAAAAAAATGGCCATATCCAGAGGAATGATTGTTTTCTGCTTCATGACACTCATGGTCTGTTCCTTCTTGGTTAAATCTAGCAATGCTGAAGAATGCAACCGTGCACATCCTGACGACAGCAAACAATGTGCCGATTACCCGGAAGAAGAAGATGATTTTGATGATACTTACAGGGTTAACAAAAACATGAAGGTATCGGCCGAAATGATTGTACTTGGACATTAGCCATATGCTGCTGCAGACTCATTTCTTTCCTCCAAGCTTTTTTGGGAGCTCCAAATGGTTCTAAGATTTTCAGTTGCCACCACCACAAGTGTTCCATTTCCTTTTTCTTTCTTTTTTGTCGTGTTTGAAAGAGTTTCTATTTTTGTATTCCCTGCTGTATGCTGTTTGCATTTTTCTTCCATCTATATAAACTGTACTTCTGAGTTCTATTTTGCTTTCCAATGTCTATGAGATAAAGTTCCTTTAATTTGCTGCAATAGCGCAATATGTTTCTTTCTCTAATAAAACATTCTCCCATTTAGGTAGCAGCGTTTGGAATATTTTTAAGATCTTCATCGATGTGATCTTATTATTAAGTAATTTTTTCATTCATTATTTAAAATTATTTTATTTAATTAAAAATCTTTAATTTTAATAATTAAAAATCATTTTATTTTAAAATTAAAAAAAATATTATTTTGTTTGAAGATACTAAAATAATCATATAAATTATAATAATTATACAAGTTAATGATTTCAATGTTATTTAAAGTTAATAATTTATATATAAAATATTAGTAATATTTTTTATTTCATTATAAATATAATTAAATTATTAAATTAAAATATATTTACTGATAGTAAACTAGTTTTTATAATATAAATAATATAAAAATATGAATTAAAAAATTAATATATTAAAATAACAAAATTATATTATAAATCAATTTTAAAAAATTAAAAAATTATATAAAATATTTTAAAACTTGTTACAATAAATATTAGTTTAAAAATATAAAAAATATAATATAAAATAATAACAATTAATTTTAAGAATATGTAAATTTTTAATTCATATATTAAATGGATAATATTAATTATTATTAATTTTATATATTATTTCATTTCGATAAAAATTTTTTTATAAGAATTAAATCAATTTTTAAGATAATAAATTAATCACAATGATCTAATTATTTTTTGATAATTCAAAATTATTAAATAATGATCAAATATGATAATTTAATCATTATATGAATATAATTATAATTTTTATAGCGATTACCTTGTACAAAAAAGTATGTAAATGTTTTAACCAAAATTTAGAAGATAATTAGTTTAAAACTAATTACAACCCAAATAGATTTTCTGTGTTCATTAAGCCCAAATACAAATGAAACCTATGAAACCTGCATATATATTAAAACACTTGAAGTACAAAATATCGGAAACCAAATCCATTATAGACCAAAACCCAAAAATCCAAATCAAAATCGATAATCAATCCATTTAATTTACACCTTGAATGCTTCCAAAGCAGATCACGTATTTTCTTATCATTCAATGGGCAAAACCTACATTGAAAAGAGAGAAAAAATTAAAATTTAAATATTTTTTTAAGATTGTCTTGACGACTGAGTAAGTATCCGAAGACAAACAGGCCACGTATTTGAATCGGTTTTTGCACCTTCTGTTTCCGAATACATCTCTGTTTCTAGATTCCTCCCAATGGTCATACGCCAGCAAATGCGTCAGACACAACCGTGCATTTTAGCCAAACACTTGTCAAAATAAATACATACGGACTCTTATCGTACGCCCCCCATTCCTAATTCCCTTCTCAGAGAGAGAAAATCCTCAGCGATTCCTCAGGTAAATTAAATCTATCAAAATTCTCAATTTGGGCCTCTTTTGTGATCCTTGATCTTCCTTAATTATTGATATTAAAGTTTAATTTGCGTGTAAAAATTTGTTGAATTCTGCAAGAATTTTTTGTTTTTAATGTAATAAAGATCTGGGTGCTGAAATTTAGCTGTTAAATTTACACCCTTTATTTTAAAAGATTTAAATTTGATTTTGAAGTCAACTATTTGTTTGGGAATTAAAAAAAAAAAAACTTGTGATTATGATTTTTTTTTTTTTTTGGCTTTAAAGAGTGATTAAAAGTTGTTCTTTTGCTTTTTTGTTTGTTGTTATAGTGCAACATGGAAAAGCAAGAAAATATGGTGAATGTGACTGTTATATGGAGAGGAAACAAGTATATGGTGGAAATGAATTCTGGTGCATATCTCAAGGAGCTAGGAGATGAGCTGCAGAAGTTGACAGATGTTAAGGCGGATACTATGCGGCTTATTGTTCCTCAATTGTCGGGCAAAGGCTCGAGAATGCTGCACCCTTTCTCGGATGAGCACTCATGCTTGAGTTTGCAAGAAGCTTCAATTGTCAAGGTATTTACTATTCCTTGTAGACTATTTATCCATGGCTATGTTTATTGTTTAATGCCTATAGAATAAAGTACTCGCATTCTTTCATCTATGGATACGATTGCAATGAAAGGCAGTTGATGAATTTGCTGATAGGCTGGTCTCTATGAGATCGGAAATTAAGTACTTAGATTGTCATATTTTATGTTCAGTTGAAACTGGTTTTTATGTGTTTCTGATGCCCAAGAGTGTCTTGATACGTTTCTGTTTACGTGCAACTTGTTTGTGTTATTTTATTCTTGTTTCTTAGTCGCAGGTAAAGCGAGGATGTTCGTAACTGTCTTTCCTTGAAATTATGTTTAAGGGTAGCTCGAATGATTATCACTTAAGGGATGAAAGTCATTAAAAAGCAATGATGATATGGATATGTTTAACTGAATTTTCACACTTTCATACGCATTCTATGCCAACTTATAGTACTTTGGTTCTTCTAATTTCAGGGAAAATCTGTGAGGATGATGGGAGTACCTGAGGATGAAGTTGACCAAGTTATACAAAATTCAAAGGTAGACCTGAGAATAGCTGGATTCAATGAAGAGGAAAGAAGACTGAGGCAGCGAATGTCTTATGAACCCCATGCCTTGATAAGACTTCCTCAAGGACCTTATATCTTTTGTGATTTTAGGACACTTCAGATCCCAGGAGTAGAGGTATTTCTGTCTTCATTGCTGTTGACCATATGTATCTGAGGAAATTGAAAAAAAAGCATCTTCATGCAATTTTTATGTTGATAAAGTTTCATTTAAAGTATATTGATAATCTAATATTTTACAATGAAATGCACATATATTAACATTGAGGGGCTACAGGGGAGGAGTTTTGTTGGTAGCACAAAAGCTGTTTAAGTTTCAAGGGATTGTTATTTATGGGTAATACTGTATATTGTTGTTGTCACAGACAACAGTGGTGTGAAAAAAGCTAGTCACTGTTTGATGGAGATATGTTTTTTGCCTCTAGATTTCCGATTTTGTACAGGAAAAGATACATATAAAATGAATCAGGCATCTTAAATTATGTTATCTTTATGTGCTATTTGTTGGTATTTGAATTCAAGGAAATGACAAGCAACCATTTTGGAACTGATTACTCAATGTTCTGATATCCTGATAACTGTTTGTTACCAGTTACACCCTCCTGCTTCTGAGGCATTAAAAAGGATGCATATGCTTGCTTCAGACCCTGGAATTGTCGCTATCATGAACAAGGTACTATGGGATCAATATTTATCCATGCTCCTTGGCTTAACTGACCCTTGTAAGCTCTGCTTAACTATTTATATTGTTTTTTTGTAAAGCATCGATGGCGTGTTGGAATAATGACTGAGATGGCTCCAGTTGGTTACGTTGGTGTGACTCCCAAATGCATTCTAGGTTTTAATAAGGTAATAGCCTTTTTAAGAATATAAGACATAGAATATCAAAATCTTACCACTTTTCTAGTTTCCTTTCATTATATCTATTCTTGACCCTTATATACTCTTTCAGAATCATGGAGAAGAGATATCTCTCCGTCTTCGAACTGATGACCTCAAAGGCTTCAGGAAATATGAGAGCATTAAAAAAACTCTTCTGCATGAACTTGTAAGCATTTGAAAATTTTCAGTTATCAGTTGTACAATGTTACTAATGATTATGTTATTATAATTCCAAAAATAGAGGGAGAGAGAAGAGGGGAGGAGGTGAGTAAGGAACATTAGCAAACAAGTGATTGAGAACTGTGCTTCTGTATATTTCAGGCTCATATGGTATTCTCTGAACATGATTCAAATTTCTATGCCTTCGATAAACAGGTAAAACTACCTATTTATGCATGCTTATATGATTAGGAAATGGTGCTTCATTGTCAAATATTATCAGTTCAATATAAAAAGTGTTGTCTGGATTTAACATTACTTTTTTTTGGCAGTTGAATGAAGAAGCTGCTAGCTTAGACTGGACCAAATCTAGGGGCCACACTTTAAGTGGAATCAGACATTCAGAGAATTATGAAGAAGACTTTTACGTTAAAGATGGCAGTTCTCAGAAGGTTGGTGGAAATATGTCAACTTTGCTGGAAAATGCCCGTGCATCTTCTGTAGCTGCTGCTTATCGCCGTCTGATAGATGCTTCTGCCAATAATGTAGAAGCATCTGAAACACATGATGAGCCTGACCCTGATGATTCTGGGTTGATAATGCATGACGGAAATGAAAATCTAGATATTCAAAGTCCAATCGCTCAGGCGAAACTTGCTTATGAACCAGATCCCGATGGTCTTTCTAGCAATCAAAACAAATTAGAACCTGATCCAGATGATTTGCAGCATGGTGAAACTCTACAACTGAAGCATTGTTCTAAATCTACCAAAAGCAATTCTCAGAACACTCTTGGGAAATCATCAGCCATGAGTTCAAGTGAAGAGCCTGATCCTGATGATTCCGGTGTTTCTTCAAGTTTTGGAAATGTAGGTGAACCTGTGGCGGAGATTCTGGACACCAAGATTATGACAAGTGAGACCATAGATGAACCAGATCCTGATGATAGAGAAGCACAATGGAAAATTTTGGGTTGTCCAAACATAGCAAGACATGATCCTCGTCATAACATAACAACTGAAACCTTGGAAGATCAAGCCCATTTCAACCAAGGTAATGAAGAACTTGATCCTGATCCAACCAAAGCAAATGAAATAGCACAAGTGGAGCATCATCCACATGATAAGTTAGTGCCGCAACTGGGAATATCTGATATGAAAATTGATGAGCCTGATCCTGATGATCAAGAATTACAGAGAATCCGAGACTCTGTTACCAGTGTTTGTAGTCGCATGCAAAAGGCCATTGAGATGTTGCGATTTGAAGTTAATCCCACAGAGGCAGCAATTGTCCTGCAAACTCTATTTAAGATAATCAGGTATGTTTGACTGTCCTTTATTTCCTGAATACACATTAAAGCGTTGGTACTGTCCATCTGAGCCTGCCTCTTGCAAGCCCCTTAGATGTTTTGATTCTTTCTTATTCTACCTAGCATTTTTTCCTCTTTGTTTTGTGAACTAAATTACTGATGAAAGCTGGAATTATTTTCCTTTGCCCGCAGGAATGTGATTGAACACCCAGATGAAATGAAATTTAGAAGACTTCGGAAGGTAGAATCCTTGTTAATCTTGACGGTTTTGCTTTATTTCCATGGATTTAATCCATTATAATAACTCTTTTATGTACTGGAATCCTCTTTTCCTCTAGTCCATATTTTAGTTACTAATAATGGTATATTGCAGGCGAATCCAATAATCCAAAGAAACATTGCAAATTACAAAGGTTTGTTTCCTTTAATTCTTCTCCCCACCCTCTTTAAACAAAATTTTTTTTGATATGTTAAACAAGGTTTTGGTCAGTAAAAGTTTTATTAAATGATAGATTGGGGAAAATGTGCATTTCACTAGAAGGATAGGAGCAAACCCTTCTCAAAAGTACATTGCACAGAAGTTTAATGCAAAAAATTTAAGGCCTTTATATACAGGGAACTGGAGAAAAAATAAAGGATGCCTTAGTTGAGTAACTTTTAAGAATTTCTTTTCCCCGGACAGTTGAATTGGTTAAACACCGACTAGCAACAACCCCAATAAGTAATAACATATAACAAGTGTATCATTCAACCCTAATTCTCATCACCTTTTTGTTCTTGCAGCTGCCATGGAAATACTTCTCTTGATTGGTTTTAGTGAAGATGTTATATTGGATGAAATGGGGAAGGCAGAAACCTATCTAGTGCTAAAGCGGAATGACCCTGGTCTGTTATGGCTTGCAAAGTCCTCCCTTGAAACATGTATTGCTTACTAGTTTTGCCAACGTGTGGATATGTGTGAAAAATGCTTGGCCAACAAATGTGTGAAAATAAGTGAGACGTTCAAAATGGTGAAGAAAACGCATAACGTGTAAATTGTAGGTGGTGTGAATGGACATACAAGATTGATTGTTTACTTCATATTGTAATTATTTGAGAAAAGATTTGTAAAAAGAAAAATAAAAGTTGGTTTGGAAATGTGAGCTCCCCTATTTTGCATGGTCAATGGCGTGCATTCCTTTTCTTTTACGTTTTCTTTTTCTTCCATAACCGTTTTTGTTGCGACTTCATGCCTCTCCTGGAACTGGAAATAGTATTCTTATCATGGCCAAAAACATACATGACCATAACTTCACTAGGGAGATGGCTCTGACATTTTAACAGCGTTTTACAACTGTTGTTTTCTTGACCCGCTGCTGGCTTTTTTCATTTTACTTCTGGAAACATTTCACCTGTACTTATTTTTACTACAATCCTTTAATTGTTCAATCATAAATATATAAATATATATATATATATATATATATATAAGAGTTCATCATTTATAAATTATAAATAAGGATTCTTCATCTATAAATGTGAACTCTACATAACTCGAAATTTAATTGATTCTGCCGAAAATTATCTTTGTATATGAAATTTGGAACGAGTAGATAGCATGTGCTTCATTAACATTAAGGCACCCAGAGCGAATGTACCAACTCATCAAATCTAACAAACCAGAAAACTTTAACATTTACTCGAAATTTACAGCCAAATTTCTTATAAAACCTCATAAAAATCGGTCTCATTCAATTTCTGGTGATATGGGTGGTCTTGCAAATGAAACTTCAGGAATTTAAGCACTATCCATTGGAATATCACTGCCACTAGGGTTTGCTAGGCTTTCACAGATACTTTTCTGGGTCTGATCAGCACCAAACGTGAACTCCTGCGGAGGAACTTGTAAAGGCGGACCAGCAAAAATAGAAGTAGCACCAAGATTATTGAAAACAGGAACAGAAACAGGAACTGGACCAATTGCCTTTGGGAAGCCAAAGTTGAAGGATGGGGCTCCCGTAAAGGAGAAGGTAGGCAGAGCAGGAATGCTACTATCAGATGATCCAAAGAGCTTTTGCTCATATTCCTGCAATTGCTGGTATACAGCTATAAATCATGAACAGGGAATGAAAATCAGAAGATATTAGCGCTTTTTGGAAGGAAAAAAAGCATTTACACATGCAATATAAAAAATAATAACAAATAATACAGGAATAAACATCATCAAACAACTACAAGTATACAATCTCTAAACTCGATCTCAATCATACCAAAATTTGCAATAATTATTACTTTTTAAAAACAGATTTACTTTACACGAAGACATTGTAAAAAATTACTCACTAATAAAGCATTTCTACCTCTACATTCCGTCTCAAATGGCAGGAAAATGTTGATTTGTCAGATAAAAAGTAAGAAAGATAAGTATCCACCCCTCCCATGCAATCTAACAAATACCAATCAGAAATTGAAAACAGTTTGATGATAGTTTCAGCAGCATTAGACCTTTTACTCTTACAAATGATATTATATGACAATCATTTTTCCTCTTCCTAATAATATAAATGGGATTCGTATATTGTTTCCAATTAAGTGAAATCCAATTAAGTAAAATGACACCATATTAAGAATTATTAACAACATTAAATGTTTTTGTGATATAAGGTAATCTAAGTCAAGGCTGGTAAATACCTTGACTTAACTCAACAGATGATCTCCGTTCTTTGACCCACTGATAGCTCTGTGGAAGCCTCCATCCTTTAGACTTCATCAAATAAGCTATTACAATTGCTGGTGACCTGTCAGAAAGAATATAATCATCCTTGAAAACAATTTATTTCATGTAAGGGTATAAAAACACTCGAGCATTCGGCTCAATGGAAGATACATGTATCTCTCGAAGAGTTGGAATCCCCCCTTCACCAAATCAAAAGAAAAATCAAAAGGGAATATACACACATACATAGTAGTTTATCTCCTATGTACAAAATGACAAGGTGGCCAAAAGCTACCTGGAAGGCATCATATTGCTAAATTCTGGGGTAAGGTTTGACTAGGTTCTTCCACCATAGTCTATATGCAAAATCATTTTCAGCATTCAAATTTGAATTCTTTTAGTATAAAATATGATTAAAAAAAAGGAAAAAAAACCGCTTCAATATCCTCATGGTTGTTTTGGTGTGTGTTTGTTGGATTAGAAAAGAAATGTAGAAGCAGTAGTAATCAACCTATTTTTTCCGGACATGCAGTGCACAAGTACTCGAGCCTTATCCCTCTCACATTGCTCTGCAGAAATGAATCACAGGTCATAAAATGCCAATGAGACTATAAAACTATGAAACATGTCAACTGGAAGTGTCAGAACTACCGTAATGCAACTGAAAAACATTAATTTAATATCTGCAAGCAAACTCTGCAATAGCCATTTTTCTTGGGCAATGAAGGGCATAATGATTTAAGCAGAACAAACCACAACAAGGTTACCAAGTTAAGAAAAGTGATTGTGATGTAAACACGATATCATAGAAAGGTTTCTAAATTGTAAATGTGCAGAGCCCCAAGGGAAGCACGTGTGTTTGGCAGCAGAATACACACAGTTGACCATGTGAATTAAGAAATTCAAGAAGCACCTCTTCATGATTTAAGAGAAAATATACTCACTAGATGCTTCTCAGGGCCTGAAATAGAGTGTGAATGTTATTGAATGCTGCTCAGACCAACATCATGAAAATTTCACGGGTGAAAAATTCGATGCATGAAAGAGGAAATACTAAAGTCATGAACCAAAGAGAAGATACCAATGTCAAGCTTTTGACCACAAACTGAACTTCATAATGCAACACAAATGTTAACGCACCTAAAAATTGTATTGCATCATCAAATTGTAAAATTTTGTCATCTTGCAGGCAGTGATAGGTAAATGAATTCTTGTAGAGATTTTGACAAGCAGGTACAGTCTGCAAAGAGATCATATAAATAACATAAGAATGTTCTACATAAGTAAGCAACAACTTTTACACCTTACAGCCATCAATATGCATTTTAGCAGTCACAACATCCAACAGAGAGGAGATCAAACTGCAGAATGAAAAATGAAAAAGAATGGATTCTGATGCCATCACTCATAACACCTTCAAAGATGTTCCTCTCAATCTCATCAACAATAGCAATGGGATGACTGCAAATTATTTATTAGCTTCGTTTAAAAACTATGATTCACAACATAAAAAAATCAGCCCGCAGTCATCACAGTCCCCAATCTCATTTCTCCTCATTCCTATTGTAGGTTAAAGTTAAATTAGGATCAACAGATAATCATCTAGCCATTGTTTGATAGAAGAATATCTTTCATCTTTGATCCCATTCCAATAAAATTTTAGTTTTTTTCTCTTAGAAAAGGCAAACAAAATACATAAACTTCCATAATGAGCAACTCCACATACCAACAAACAAGCTCTTTATTGGCTGCTATGTTTAACCACCTTCCGGTTAATTCTAAATGTATAATGGCTCTGTATGGAATTTTAATTTACTATCAAAAGCAGATCCCATCACTATAGTAAAAAGGAACTTGAAAGCATCTATTGATCTCCAATTAAGATAAATTTGATCCAATGACATGCAAGGTTTAATGTTGTATATCATTGACCCCTTATCTTCAAACTGTCCAGTATTCTCTGCCTATCTACCTAATTAAATGCCAACATTAATTATCCGATTTTCAAATTCTCAAGTAAACATTATGAAAATTTTACAATTCAATTTTATGAGTAAAACAACAATCAGGTTCTCCTTTCGAATGTTCAAAGCTAAAAGACAAAACAACTGCTCTTACGACTGTTTGATTAATACTATTATTTCTAGTTCTAGCTTTCCTAAATTGCACGGACATCCTGTTTGGGTCTTGCCCCAGGTCAAAAAATACATTTGATTCTAAACTTCTTCCCATGTTGTTAACTTATAGCCAGAAATGCTATCATTAGCCTTATTCACAAATAGAAAGCACCAAGGAATATTATCCTAGATATCTGTTTTAACTCATCTGTAAGTTTAGCCAAAAGGTAAAGGCCTAAAGTAGAGTCTCAATGTAAATTCACTAAGTAGATAGTACTCATATGAACTTTACTCTCAAAGTTATGACTAATCTTTCATTCACAAGCCTAATCCAGAAAATAGCAAAAAGGTTTCTGTAGGAAAACTGACATAGGAATTTTCTAGATCAATAAAGTTCCAAGATCTTCCTCATACAAAGAGTTTATTCAATCATTAGTCCCCTACTCCACATGCCAAATAATTAAAATGCAGAAATCCCATCAAAGTTCTTCACAGCAGTATGTATACAAACCTTAACATACAGAAAAAATATTTTATTTCCTAATTTTCTCCTTTCTTATTCCAATTAGTAAAAAATTCCAAGCAAACTTTTCCAAACTATTTTCAATCCCCAAATCCATGAATACAACATCAAAGTTAAAATCATAACCTGATATTAATACTATAAGCAAACAGAGTAAGGAAAAAAAAAAGAAGGGGCTTACATTAAGTACACGAGCAATTCCCTGAGTCTTGAGAAGCTCAGAGCGAGAGGCGTTATCATAGCTACCCAAATAGAGAAAGTCAGGCAAGATCACCGATGGAAAAGCACTGACTTGAAGCGATGTTTTATCAGAAGAGACGGGAGCTCTGTGCCCACATATTCCACAAACTTCTCCTTCCTCGTACTTGTGATAGTGCCCACATACCCCACACGGATTCTCCCTCTCCCTCTTCCTCATACCAACTCACCACCCCGAACACCAACAAAAGAAACAACAAATTTTCGATTATACCCAGATCAAGAAAACCAAAACAACAAAAGACCCAGATTTTTTGTCTGGAGGAATCAAAAGGTTTTCAGTTGAAAGCAGCTTCTCGTTGCATCGAGATTTTGCTTGATCGAGAGAGAGAGTTCAAGGTATTCTTATTCAATTGTGTTTTTTCTAGTTATATAATATTAAAATATACAGGATAGGGGTCTTTCCTGAGTCATATGCGAGATTTGTACTTCGATTTTTATATTATAAGAATGAACAGTACTAGATATTGCCTCCACTCTGGGAAATAGAAAAAAAAAAAGGGGGGGGGGTTGGTTTTACCTGATTGAGGTCTTGATGGGCATGTGATAATGAACACACCATCTTTTTTTTTTTTTTTTGTAGAATTTGTAGTTTTTTACATATAGAAAATTCCGCAAAAAAAATTAGATTGTTTTAATTTACTAATTAAAATATACTAGTTTTCCTCACTTTTTCATGTATAAAATCAAGTCATATTCACTCCTTAAGATAATATTTAAGAAAATAAAATTTTAATTGTTATATTATTTTTTAAAAAAATTTAATGTATATATATCTTATAAACATCCATTAATAATTTTGAATTTAAAATTATTTGTATAAAAACATGATTTTATATGGGCTAACTTATTGGTTTTTGTTTTTTGTTTTTATCATATCCATTAATTATTTATGTGATTTACGTGAAAATTTTGAGAATTAAAATAAATTTTTTAAAATTTAAATATTAATATAAAATTTAACCTAAAATTAAAAAAGATTGATGTCTAAGGGTGAAAAAAATTGAAAAAATTAAAAATTAATTAAAAATTATAATATTTGATTTAATTTAAATTAAATTAAAATATTAATTATATAATAGATTTAAATTGAATTTTAAATCAAAAAATTAAAAAAAATTGTATGAAATAGAATTATATATTTTTATTAATTTTTTATATATTTTAAATTTTTATAAAATAAAAATAATTATCTTTTATTTAAATATATTAAAAATTATATTAAAATAATATATAAAAATAAAAAATTAAATCAAATTCAATTCATTCACAGTTATCATTCTTGTATCATTCACTGGATATAAAAAGAAGAAAAAAATTATTTCCGCCGAAGATGGGAAAATAGATGTAGTAAATTAGTACTGTAGTAAAAGGCAACCAAAGCCAATTTTAACCGTGTTTTGCCCTCTTATAATGATCAGTTGAGTTCGAGTTCCGCAGTTAAGTTGAAGTAGAAACCAAACCGGTGGGTATGGCAAGGTCTTGTTGGCATAAACTCAAGACGGAATGTTGTTTCGATCTGGCTCGTCGCCTTTCTTCATCAGCCTCTCTCCCTCCCCCTCCTCTTTCCTCTTCCCGAAGGGTAGTGGTCACTGGTACTATGCCACTCTCCACTCTCATGTCTTCTTCGCTTATACAAATTTCCCAGTGTTATTTGTAAAGACTCGTTGGTTATTTGTTTTTGGGTTTCAGGGCTTGGAATGGTTACGCCACTTGGCTGCGGTGTAGAAACAACATGGAAACGTTTGATAGAAGGCAAGTGTGGGATAAGGGCAGTAACCCCAGAAGATCTAAAGATGAGTGCTTTTGATAAAGAAACTCAGATGCTTACCTTCGATCAGTTAACTTCTAAAGTTGCTGCAATTGTGCCGTGTGGGACTAATCCTGGTGAATTCAATGAGGAGCTTTGGCTTAATTCTAGGGTAATCCTTTTCTTCTTGGTGATTTTGGTTGTTGACCCATTTATTGTACTGTGTTGTTTGTTACATTGTCATGCGGTTTCTTGAACTGGGTCGAGGTTTTGGATTGTGGGTGGAAGTAGTGAAGGAATAAAATTTCGGGTTTTAAGAATGTCGAGTTGGATACATTTGAGGTGAAGTGTTTTGTTTTTAGAACTCTATGGATCAAGTTCTGAAGTAAATATTGAAGGGAATGGTGACATTACATTGAATGTTACTGGTTAATGGAAATACTTAGTTACTTTCCAAGAAAGAAAATTGTGCAATTAAAGATATGAAGATGACAAAAACTTTGATTTCTTTGCAACTAATACGATGGATGCTTTAATTTGCAAGCTGTTTTGCGGTCTGAATATGCTTTAATTTGCTCAATCAAACAGCACTGTATTCTTGGAAAAAGCTTCTTTTGTGGCTTGTTGTGATTGTTAGTTTTCACATCTCAGAATCCTAAGTTGTTTTATTATTTTAAAGTGATGTGTAGTGGCTAATCTGTTAATAGATTACTTAATTATGCTAATGAAGATTAATTTAGACTTTTTGGTCTGTAAGACAAATCAATGTCTGATGGAATATTCTGATTCTCTGCATGCTACAATCAAACATTCTTGTTTCTCAGGAACATCGATCAGTTGCAAGATTTATAAGCTATGCATTATGTGCTGCTGATGAAGCTTTAAAAGATGCAAAATGGGTACCCACTGAGCAGGAACAGATGGAAAGAACGGTAATCACTTATAAATTGTTGATAATATGTGATATATAGATCTTCTCTAGTTTCTTTTCAGTAGCTTATTCTTTGTTAACCTGTGGATAACCAGGGAGTCTCTATAGGTGGTGGGACTGGAAGTATCAGTGATATATTGGATGCAGCACAAATGATTTGTGAGAAGGTTGGTTCTTGCTACCATGTATTTTGTCATCATGATCATCGGTATTTCTATTGTCATCAGTAGATCATAGTGTCATCATGATTGTTTTCCTCATGTCACCTATGGGCTGGAAAATGAACTACTTGGATATGGAAACAGCTAATATGACAAGTGAAATCTCTGCTCTTCTAATACAGCGTCTTCGTCGACTAAGTCCATTTTTCATTCCAAGGATACTAATCAACATGGCATCCGGTCACGTGAGCATGAAATATGGATTCCAGGTGTGTGTATGTATATTTTCCATATATAACAAGCTTTTGGCCTTATAATGACCTAAACCTAGTCAAAAAACAATTTCCATTTAAGGCCTATTACTGCTGTGATTTGAATGCAGCTTCATCACCATGATGGTTCTTGTTCATCCGTCAGGTCATTTCTGGAAACAAAATGCTTGAGCTTAAATAAAATTTTAGTAGTTCTCAAATTTAAAATTAGTATTGCAGATTGTTAGCCATTACACCAGGTTGCTATGGAACTTGGATTTGGGTACACAAAAGTTGTTTGATTCAGTTGACAATAAACATGATTAATCTATCAGTTTCACACTATGATTGTGTAGGGGTCATTGTCCTCAATAAGCGGTTGACTGCCCTGACACATACTTCTGTTACAATTTTGTAACAAAAAATAAAATATTCTTAAAAGTATAAGTTCTTGTTGCAAAGTCTAGTCACCCTTTTGAATATAGGGACCAAACCATGCTGCAGTGACTGCTTGTGCAACTGGGGCTCATTCTATTGGTGATGCCATGAGGATGGTTCAATTTGGAGATGCTGATGTTATGGTTGCTGGTGGCACAGAGTCTAGTATTGATGCTTTATCAATAGCTGGATTTTGCAGGTAAAGGTAAAAATTTAGTGAAAGATTATAGAGGGCCAATATGCAAAATAGTATATGACGCACAAAAAATTTTGGATAGCTATGTCATTCTTCTTGTTAGTGGACCCATAGATAGAGACATTTCTCATGTTCATTTAACTAAAGCTTCTCATCCTTAAAATAAAAATTTGATAGAATTGCTGTGGCATGAATGGCTCTGTGAGACATTGTATCTAGATGGACAAAAATGCCATAATAGTAAATTGATTATTAAAGAAGTTTTAAAACTAATGCCTTATAAGACTCTCTCCAGTTCTCATTCCATAAGGCGGACCATGCCGTAAAATAATAGGGTGGCTTAGCCCATTATGCTCATTGATTTCATCTGCTTTTATGGAATTAAATCTGTCTCTCACTGTTCCAGAATGCATTCATGGAGCTTTAAAAGAAAACAAAGCTTTTAATGAAAGACTTCATGACATATCTATGGCCAACTGGGGACTAAATTCTGTTGGATACTTGTTTGTCTGGCAGCAAGGTCTCCCGGGGGGAGGAGGAGTTATTAACCTTTCTTTTTTTTTTCCCCCCTTCCCTTTTGAATGCTCGAGTACTTTGTTTTACTCCTTTCACACTCTACTTAGCTGATAACTTTTCTTTTTTTTTCAATTCCAGGGCTAGAGCTTTGACTACTAAGTATAATTCTTCCCCTGTAGAAGCTTCGCGACCTTTTGACTGTGGTCGGGATGGATTTGTGTGAGTGAAGTTTGGCTGGTTAATTATGCGAAGCTCATTGCTTGCAATTATTTGTTTTATGCTACTATCTAACTTATCATAATCTGCCCAGGATAGGTGAAGGTTCTGGTGTCTTGATATTAGAGGTAAATTGAGCTATAATTTTTCTTCTATGTTTCAATCATCCCCTTCCCTTGTTGTTGGCTATGATCTTTGCCATTGTTTTGTAATGGTTTTTATATATCGCTTTGCTATTAAGGAACTTGAGCATGCCAAAAGTCGAGGAGCAAAAATTTATGCAGAGGTTCGTGGATATGGAATGTCAGGTTGTTTTCACAGGACTGAAAATATTCTACAATAATGTTAGTAATATTATAAAAAATCATTGTTTGCTGAACACAAATTATGACCTTTTAGGTGATGCATATCACATTACTCAACCACATACTGATGGAAGAGGTGCCATTTTGGCTATGACACGTGCCTTGAAACAAGTAAGTAATATTCATAACAACTTTTGACTTCTGATTTGTTATCAATTCTGTGTAGCATCTATAACAATCTCAAGGGGACTCTTTTTGCTGCTCCCCATGGGTCATATTTGAGGACAAAATACAGGATAGTTGCAGTATATCTTCTTTTGTTAATATTCATATCTTCTGGCCTTGGCAGCATGTTAGGCAGCTGTGCAAGTTGTATGTGGTTGCATATGGTACAACTGTGCTTTAGAATATGTTGCTTGAAAATGTAGAAAAGTCTGTCAGTGGACCTTAATTACGTTAGCTTCTTTCACAATTTAAATGTGCACTTCTAGATTTTCTAGTAGTTGGTTCACTGGTTCATTAGTTCCTTTGTCACTTGACCTGTGGGTACCCTGACAAGCTGCATACTAAATATTATTATCTTTTCTCTAATATATAAACAGAAGATTTAGTTTATCATGCTCTTATTTTTCAGTCTGGTCTGCATTCTAACCAAGTGGATTATGTGAATGCTCATGCTACTTCTACACCTTTGGGTAAAACCTTCTGAACCTCTAAGTTGCTTTTATTTGATGTTCTAAGTTTTATTAAAACTGGTTTAATGCTTGTCTCTGGAACCTCTTGTTTAGGTGATGCAATTGAAGCCAATGCAATCAAATCCATATTCGTGGACCATGCAACGTCGGGTGGCTTGGCCTTTTCCTCCACGAAGGTAAATTTCAGTATTTCTGACCAGATTGGCTTTTAAGACATCTAGGAGAACAATATTTCTTCAATGAAGCTCAGTAGCATATTTCTTTCTTATGAGCTTTTAAGACATCTTGTGTCTCATAAATCTTGCATGATTAAACGTTCGAGGCAAAATGACAATTGATAACTTATTTATGCATCAATATTCAGAACTGACTAGATAATTTGAAATTGAGCTGGTTGGAATTTGATATCCTTTTTGCTTCTTCCACCAATGTCCACTATTTAGGAAAGAATAAATACCTACAAGGCTAGAAGATGATAATAAAAGTTTAAAAGGGATAAAACTCTGTCCAAGATATAGTATACTTAGGCGATTACTTCTAGCTGCAACTTGCATTTCTTGAGAGAGAGCCTTATTGATACTGCTGTTTGCATCTCTACCTAAAGACATGTCAGTTGAAATTTTTGGGGAACTTGTCGTACAAATTTTCTTGCTCTTATGGAAAGGTATGGGAATACAAGAGAAAGTGAATTAGGGAGAAAAAGAAAAAGCTATATGTTACCTTTTCCGGTGCTATACCATTCCACTTTACTGTATTTTCATTTTCTTTTCCTGCTAATAGGTTTAATCTATTTATCAACCATTTCCTTTCATTAAAACTGCTACAATCACCATTATACACAGGGTGCTGTTGGTCATCTTCTTGGTGCAGCCGGAGCTGTTGAAGCAATTTTTACTGTTTTAGCCATACACAATGTAAGTATTTCAGTTTAGCTGCTTGTTAATGATACATGTGAAAGCATATTTCAACTTATTGGTGGCACATAGCTTTTCAAAAAGCTTATGACAAGGTTATAATAGGAATTCCTACTTGTATGAACCAATTTTTGGTTCCTATCTATGTATTTTTCCATCAGTGTGGACTAATAAGTGGTGCTGAGTATTCTCTTCTCTGCTAATACACAATGTTGAGGAACTGTTTAGAAAGTTTGAAGCTGTACTAAATGGTCATTGTGGTGTCTGATTGCAGGGGATTGCACCTTTAACACTTAATGTCACTAAACCTGATCCCATTTTTAATGATGCTTTCATGCCTTTGACTGCTTCAAAGGAAATGCCAGTTAGAGCTGCCTTGTCTAATTCTTTTGGTTTTGGAGGAACCAATGCATCCTTACTTTTTGCATCCCCTCCTAGAACAGATTGATTGGTCAAACTTTCTTGTTCTGTTGGTATTGGATGCCATTTCTTTGATCTGATTGCATCGGCACTTTTCAGAATCAGAAATCCAAAATATAAAGCTGATGCATGATGGGTCATTGTGGCAGAATCTTGTTTATTTTCTTTTTCTCTTAGTTTATTGGTAACACTAAACTGCAGAGAAGAATGTCACTATGTGATTGCAGAGAAATTTTGAGCTTTAGATTCTTTAAGATTGACAGTCAGCAAGAGCTACTGCTGCTATAGAGCAGAGAAAAATGTTATGATGGTTTTGGACCATCATCGGTAAGATTTATGATGGTATTGTTTGATTATCGCATTGAAACTGTAAATTCATGAAAGTTGTAGAGAGCAAGGGGTCTGCGCCATAAAACTTGTGAGATCTTGTGTTATACTCAGTTGTCACTGCTTAGTATTTATGCGCGTGATAAGCATATAGTTACCATAAAGATGGTATTGATATACAGAGGATTTTTTACTTTGAGAATTGATTTTATGATATGGCGTCTGGTTCTATCCTGACATTATCTGGAGCCAAGGACAGCAGTCTAATTTTGTAGATGCACAAGTATGATGATCCCGAACACAGTAAAAACATGCTCCAATTGCCCATTCTTGTTGATAAAGCAAGCAACTTTACATTTGCAGTCGCCTGAGGAGCAATATGAATCAGTGATGTGTTTAGGCTACATCATGGTGACCATGATACATAGATTGTGATGCACTTCCAAACGAGTAGAATTTGAATGTCAGGATAAATTAGAAGTGACGGGATGAATCTGGACCCAAGAAGAACTTCAAAACCTGTCCAAAAATAATTTGAAATCAATGTATCCAAACCTGAATGGGTCAAAACCCTAAACTTAATATAAATCGAGATAAAATGATTAAAGCTCAAAATAATTTGAATCGAATGGAAATATCGAAATCAAATCAGTCAAATTAAAATGCAAATATTAATTATTAATTTATTTTAATCTGAACTATAAATTATATCATTTGAAAGTGATTTTATTTTCAAAAAAAAAAAAACTCCAAACAATTTGAATATAATATAATATAAATCTGATATGATCTAAATTTAAAATGATTCAAATTTGAGATAATTCAAACCCGAAATCACTTAACCTAAATCCACAAATCCACCCATTTGCTACCTCTAAAATTCATGATCTGAACATGAAATGACTCAACTTGAATCCATGAATCTGCCCATTTGCCACCTCTAGGATATACGAGTGTAACACATCATCCTAACGTATCGACTGTGCCAACTAGGACTCTTTTGAGGCATCTTAAAAATAAAACATGCGCACTGCAGATGGTATCAAGTTAAAATGGACAAAAGCATTAGCGTGCAACTTCTAGATGTATTGAATGATGCTTCCATTGATAAGAACCTCATGAGCTGTCGTTTTGAAGATGTGCCTGATGAGCTTAGGTGGACAAATCAATGAACAGATTCATGTCATTGCATCCACAGGGCCATCCTGGTAGAAATTGCAGAGGTGTTGCTGCACTACTGCTCTGGAAATCACAAAGATATGATAACCACAGCCATTGCCAGATAGGTAAATTAAATCAGTCTATATTTCCTTGATGATACCCTTTTCTTTCTCCTAGTTCATCCTGGTATCCTATTTTAATCAGTTAAAAGAACCTGCAAAAATTTAACAACAATGCACATCGTGAACAGATTTCTATTAAATCAGAATAACTTTTGTGCATACCATCCATATATTACAAAAGGAAAAATTGCATGTCTTTCCTCATTTCTTCTATCCTCTTAACTCATTATATCCGCTGAAAGCACGACTATGAGTGCATTGATTTGAAACCCTCTGTTAGAGGAACCACCTTTGCTGACACTTTAGCCTGCAACTTAGAAACAGCTTGACGAATGTCCTGTAATATGGAATGATGATCATCACATAATATAAAGTTGTAATATGGCTGTTTCCTGCAATAATGTAGCAGATGTATTTCCTCATGCAGGTTTATCAAAATTTTTATCTGATGCACCATTTCAGCGAACTGCTAGCATATTTAAAAGGGTGGAGAAAGCAGGTCTATAATACTAAGCCCTGAGGAAACATTTTTGGATTAAGATGAAAGCAATAACTAACCACAATTGCAACGTTTAATTATGACTTGAATTCCTTTTACTCTATTTTCAGCAGGAAAAAAGAAAAGAGCTGCTTGGCAAGCTGCATCATCTACATGTTTAAACATACAATTTAGCATCATCTACCATACTGCAAGATGGAGTGAACCTCAATTCAGATGATAAACCATTTAGCTAAACTATTTGGAATGTTATTCTCCAAGGAAGATTTTATGTCAATCAGTTCCACCTCCCTAGTAAGCTGACAATCACATTGTAGCATTTGAGAAGCTTAGCAGCTGACATAGATGTGTTAGATGTTTACCCTTTCTGGACAATGTAATAAAAACAAGTCATTCAATTAAATGATTACCTCTATACTGTAGCGAGAAGAGAAATGAGTTAACAAGACAGCCTTATTTCTGATCCATTGAGCATGTTCAATGATCTGAAATTTTGGCATCAAATGAAGTTAAAACTTAAAAGTCATTAATAATGTTGTAACAATAGAATGGGCGAATCAACATCAAGCATACCTCAAGTAAATGAGTATGACCATGTTTTCTTGCATGATCAATGTTATAATCTTCATCGAGGAAAGTTGCCTGTTAAAAATGTTTCCACATCAGATACGTGAAGACTATAAATTACACAAATTTGTGAATGTTGGTCCAAGGACAGGAGGGAAAAAGAACAGAATATTAACATTGTGTGTAATGATTTCAACCATGAGATCAGTGTAAAGATAAGCGGAGCTTTCTTTTCTTTTTCTTTTTTTTTTCTTTTTGCTTTTCTTGAGCATGTCAAATATACTCTCTTTTCATAACAGCTGCAACTTTCAAAATCTTATGGCCAGAGAAAGGCCAATTAAATCACAGAAAACTGCTATATAGGCTAGAACAGATCTCAGAAAATTAGTGCAAATTACTTGAAAACCTATGACTTGGCAGAGTTCAGGTCCACTATTAGATAGGATAGGGTCCATGATCAATGAAACTGACTTGTACTAATGAAATGATTACCTTACAGTTAGATATTAGAAGAAAAAAGAAATGATTCAGAAGGTGCAGGTATAGTAGTCTGATTGTTATGTGTGAGTTTACAGCAAAGCTCACATCTGTTATAAATGCTAGAAGGTATGCCATATTGGCATGTGACACTTAGCAGGCAGGAGCATAACACAAATTAATCATGGATTTTACAAAGCATTGTACTTGTTTCATCCAATTCCACTTTCCTTAACATTGACTCATGTCTCAGATTATGCTACTAGTTGCAACATGAAGTGGGCAATCTTAACACAGATGTTGCAACAAATATTTTCAGCACACAGCTAACAAGGGAAAAGAAGATGGAAAAGTTTGTATTCAGTCCATACCTCAGTTATAAGAATTTTGGCCCTTAAGGCATCTGCATTACGTGGATCAAGCATGTATTCTGCTGTTGTATCCCCTGTAAATGCCACTTCTGGAGACAAAACGATGTCTGTGATCTGTAAAGGAAGGTTTCAAGTCAAATAAATGCCAAAAACTAAAATAAAATTAGGCCACTCTATTTTGCTGAAGCTACGGACCTCAACACCGGACTTCTTCAATTTCTCAATCTGTTTCCCTTTCAGATGAATGTACTGCTTCTTCAGCTTTTTTCTAACAGAGTATATGACATAACCCTGGAAAAGACCAACTAATGTCATACTCTAAACTGTAAAGCATCCAAACGTTAAACAACAGAGATAACAAATTCATCACCCATGTTTAAAACCTCGATAATGAATTTTCCAAGGGCAAAAACTTATGAGCCACGTATTTTCATGCACATTCCACTAACAACTCAAAGATGGATTCACCTTTTTGGCTCAAGGGTTTCAAAGTTCCTAATTCATAGCTTATATATTCTCTTCTACATAAATTTATATGATTCAGAAGAATAATTGGCAAGGCATACCTGGCTTGGTATAACATGGTGAGTTCTGAATGGTCGGACAACAATATCATGCCGCAGTTCATATGTTTCACCTGAAAAAGCCTTCTAAACTCATCTTAAAGATAAACATGAAAAAACAAATAAAATTGTAATGGAAGCAACATACCGACATCAAGTGCGACCAAATCAAGGTTGAGTTCCACTTGTCCCATTGTCCTGTGAATATCCAACAGCTTCTCCACATCTTCTTTGATACATGGAGGTACAAATACTATTGGAGGCTTTAAGTTGTACAGACCACGGCTAGCTACATACATTGGCAGCCCACCCTGAGCCAGTAAATACCATATGAGATTATAGTAATACCCAGAACTTAAAACTTGAAGCAAATAATTCGAGATAACCAAAAAAACTGAAAGGTTCAACAATTTTCAAGTAACCCATGTTCAAGCAATGAACCTGGTTCTAATTTTGACTTAAAGCTAGCTAAAAACAGCATCTTTTGGCCAAATTATGGAACTTACAATGTGATCAAGATGTGCATGAGTAATGAAAACGAAATTCTGCTGAATAGCACGAGAAGGGCACCTCCCAATATCAAAAGCAGACTTCAATTCAGGAACTATGACACAGGTTTCATGGCCGCCAATAGAGAGTCCTTCAATGAAGTAACCTTCAACTTCAATACCCTTTTTAGTGACAGCTGCTCTGGCTTTGCGGTACTCTTCTTCTTCATCTATAGCGCGGCTAATTTTGGATAAATAGCCGGAGGTTTTGAAGGAGTTGAAGGGGCTGGCTTGGGTTCGGGAAGCGAGGTTTTTGTGGGGTTGGTGAGGGGGAGAAATGGGGTGGTGGAATGGGAAAATTGAGGGGAGTTTGGAGGGTGAAATGAGGAGAGAGACTTGCATTTTTTTCCTGAGATGGGAATGAGAGGAAAATGCATATAAATTTTGAAAAAAAGAATTAACAAGCGAAGAGAACTGAGTGGGTTTAACTGAGGTTTATCAGTTTCACCGTTTTTGCTCTCCGCTTGTGGTGCTTTCGCTGGAAACGACCTCCGCAGAAAGAGAAATCGCAACGCTGCGTTTTGATAAGGCAAAGCCAAGTATATCTAGATTAGAGCATAGAGAGAGTCCGGCCTTGTCTGACAAAATTCGGCCTGGCCCAATAACTGTGTGTTAATATGATAAACAGGTCCAGGGGTAGGGTCTGGAGTTCAGAAAGAGAATCAGATTCGTTTCTATCAACTTCTATTATCAACAGCACAAAGGTATTTATTTATTTTCTCTATTTTCACTTTCTTTGATTAATTTCTCGCTTATTTTTTCTTCAATTTTTCGGTAATTAATTGCTTTACCCTTCTGTGTGTGTAAATTGATCCCTTTTTCTTTGTTTTCCTGAAATTTTAACTTTTAGGGTTTTGTCCTGATTATTGAGGTTCTATTTTAATTTCTTGATCTTATTTATTTTACTAATTCAAGCATGATTTCTACCATGTCCTTTTTCTTATTTGTTTCATATTTACTGGAATTATTTTCCTAACCGCTTTTTCTTCTGCTCTTTCATTATTTGCTTTGAATTTGAACTGTACTTTCGGCTATTAAATAAAAAAAAAAACTATAAATTGTCACAAATTGTAATAAGTAATTAACAGCCCTAGGAATTTTTATTATGAGATAAGAATTGTTGGAATTTCTAGTTTGTTTCGAATGTGATGCTGTTTCTGTTTTAATTTTGTTAAATTCAGTTTCATAATAATTTCAATTTCTTGAGCTTTCTGGCGAATTTATAATATCTGGTTTTTTCTTAGGCACATCACAACAGGAAGAAACCATGCCAAAGAACAAGGGAAAGGGAGGAAAGAACAGAAAGAGAGGCAAGAATGAAGCAGATGATGAAAAGCGTGAACTTGTGTTCAAGGAAGATGGGCAAGAGTATGCCCAAGTGCTTCGTATGCTAGGCAATGGCCGTTGCGAAGCCACGTGCATTGATGGCACCAAGCGCCTTTGCCATATCCGTGGAAAGATGCACAAGAAGGTTTGGATTGCTGCTGGTGATATAATTCTTGTTGGGCTTCGTGACTATCAGGATGACAAGGCTGACGTGATCCTTAAGTACATGCCTGATGAAGCAAGACTCTTGAAAGCATATGGTGAGCTTCCAGAAAACACGCGACTTAATGAAGGTATTGTCGATGAGGAGGATGAAGGAGGTGCAGATGATTATGTCGAGTTTGAAGATGAAGATATAGATAAAATCTAGGGTTTCGGAATTGGTATTGTTTGAATCATGTGTTTAAATGTTAGAAGAAAGATACGGATGCTGCTGGTGGCTACTGTTAAGAAGCCTACAATGTGGGATTTCTCCCATATGGCACAAGTTTAGATTTATAAGTGGTGAATGTATGTTGTTAATTTTACTCAAAAGTGTGTTCCTTATCTCAAATATACTTTTATAGAGATGATAATGTAATTTAAGCTTATTATGAGCATTTTGTCACTGTTTGATACTGATAGTTAATGCGTTAGTGGGAGTCGTAGGTTAAGTGCAGCCTTGTGTGAAGTAGGATGCATAGATATGTACAGCATGCATTAGCTCCTGCATGAGATTGATTCGGTGTGTGGGTTTCACTCATTTGCAACGTGAATATCAGATCCTTTGCAGTGTACAAGTTCAGCTAAACAACTGATACTTAGTAGTTAAATACTCAAGGAATTTAGAGGTTAAACGATAGTTTAGTGACAGCATTTACAGGAATTCAACCATTCTGTTGAAGCCACACATAAAACAGAGTAAGTCTTAGCACTAGTAGGAACTTACTTTTTTCTTGACACAATAAAAATCCATAGGTCAAGGGGTTAAAGGATCCAGCGACAGTTTGATCCTTAGCATTGTTGCATTTGATTTCTTTCTGGCCTCCTAATCGCTTGCTCTTAATCCTTTTACCTGCAACAATATTATAATCAGGTCTGCATTAGAGTGTTAAACTGTTAATAAATAGGAACCATACAGCTATTAGCATCCAACCTTTCCAGATTCTTTCGATAGCTGATAGCTTGGTACAGTTTTCCTCCTCGATATGCTTCTTGTAGCTTCAAGCATGTTCTTTGATGGCCTGTAGCCATCAATTTCCTTAGGAGTTGTCACTGATAAGCTTTCTAGCCGGACGGATACTTCATTAGATCCGCAACTTTCTTCCTCTTCACCTATTACGTCTATAATTCCTTTACGGACAACAAATCTTCGATTGTAGTCCACTGGTTCAAATTGCTTGCTTGTATTCTTTTCAACTAATGAGCTCGCTGGAACAAGGGTTGCCATCCACCGTTCTACCCAGCCCCAGCTCAGGTTCTGTTCCTTGCCATCAGGTTTTGCTTGTTTTCTCTTTGAGCAGGTTCGCAGCTACAAAAGAATCGGATATAGTTACAATAGTTCAGCTTAAACTTGTATTTCTCTTTCCTTCTTTAGGCAAATATGCTAGTTTTACCTGCTGAGAAAAAGCATAGGCCAGAGCTCTCTCACGCCTGGTCATTGCTTCCAGTTTATTCTGAATCCTCATTTTTGATATGTTACTGCTTACTGTGCTATCATCCCAGTCTTCCTGTTATTTCAGGTCGTAAAACGAAGAAGAATCAAGTAAAATCCCCACTATTGAGATCAGAACGCAACTTAGCATTGTATACTTGAGAATATTAAGATCATCACTGAAACTGGTTTGATTCAAGTTGTGGAATTTGTAAAACTAAGTGTGCATTGCTGTTTGTGTTACCTTTATCCTTAAAACCTGAGCTTTTGGTTTTTGTTGCACTCGGTGATGTACTGCGTTGCTTTCTTCTTGAACTGAGAAAACTTCCATAGAATTTCCAGTTTGAACTTCAATTGATGTACCGATAGACTCCCTACTTGGACTTTCGTTTCCTGTGAGAGGCTCCTGTTTGTCGTCCTTTGTTTTCATTTCTGTATTTTGACGCCTAGCCTAAAATTCAAGAACCAAAATAACACAGAATTCAGACCCTCAAATTCATTAAAGTAGATAGACATGAACTAAATATGAGCAATTTATTTGCCCTTAGAACGCAGATGTATTTGCCATGCGAGGTTTCAGACCTAGAGAACGTTTTTCCGATAAATAAAGAAAAGCATGTAAATTGATGAATTTGCCGGGGAATCAAACCAGAAAGTGTCTAAATGCTGACTGAATAACCATGGCTGCATCTTCTTCATGTAATTGTTTGGAAATTGAGTTATGCTTTTCATCTGGTATATTTGGCTTGGTCTCATCACTCTGGTTTTCCCCTTGGTCCCTTAAGCCTTCTGGTATAGTCTGTATAACTGCGGCTTCCGAGCTATTAAATGAAGTTGAATCTTCCTCTGCAAGAACTGAATTAAATTCATCGCCGCAGAGGTATGATCTGACTGAACTCCACCTTTTCTTATCCGCCACGTAACTTCTTGCCTGATGGGATCAAAATACAAATAACTACTATAGAAATTCACTGCTTACGAGGCTTCAAGAAAAGGTAGGAAACTTACTGCATTGCTGTCTTGTGTTGACCTGTTCCTAGAGAAGATGCTTCTAACCAGCTCTCCAGTGATACCCATCTCAATTCTGAATTCAGCAATTCAATGAATAGAATTCTCAGATGTTCTGTCTCCAATTATATTGACAACCACTACAGATTCCTTGAATCATTATTGGTTTTGAGAAAAGAAAATTAAAGCTGAAAAATGCCTGTGTGACATTCTTCAGTCAGTCAGTCATTGTTGCAGGCCACCCTTCACTGAATAATACCTAATAATGTTATCAGTAAATCGCTAATCTACTATTTATTATTACAATAATCCATATTTAGCTGTAATTAAGATAGAAAACCTGTTGGGTTTAAGAGCTTTAGAGCTGGACTTGGTCCTTTAAAACCACAAAATAATAGAAACTGATAAAAAAGTAAAGATTAGATAGAAAAGATAGGTTTGAGGGACTGCATAGGTTTTTTTTTTTTTTTTCCCCCTTCAATTATATCACTTTTTGCACATGGCTTGCAGCAGATTGCCCAAAAAAAAGGTTTGCTTGCTATTGGGGGTTATGTCTGTTGCTTTTTGGTTACTTCTCCTGCCATTTCAGTGACTCTTATTGGATTTCAGCTGCTCATTTTGTCAACCTGAAAATCATTTCAATCCTGACAGTTCCATGGATTCCTACCATTCCAAGTTGTTTCCATTAGTCATTTATCAAATGCCAAACATTTCTCTTGCATTGTTGTGGAAAAGTGGAAATGGGAATAGGTGATCATTACTTGCTATGTTTGGATCTTAAGACCATTTGAGTTTTTGGGTTATCAGAAAGTGCTGATTATCTGTGTGATTTTTCATGGTCGCCAGCAATTAATGGACTCTAACTAGTGGTCCAGATTGACCAAGTTTGTTGATCTAAACATCCCATGCATCCATCCGAACAAGATGAGATCATTTATGCCTGCAAGAAACTGATTCGAGATACTTTGTTTGACACTTCAAAGGATTAATATTGACCTCCAAAAATTTGGTTTGAAATAATTGAATTATTATAAGTAAAAGTTGTAGCCATACCCCCTGAAAACATTGATGTATATGTCGCAACAAATCGTTTTGGTATGTAGCAGCTGGTATCATTAAAAAAAAAAAATGAAAAACAGTTGTGATCTGAAATCTACTCTTTATATTAAAAGAATCCCAAAGGGATTGAGAGAGAGACACTTACACTAACATTTGAATTTTAAAGTATATTGTATATTTGACTGTGGTTTGTGGTGTTTTTATAGACAAAAACTCAAGAATAATTGGTTTATTTGTGGGCTGTGAATTTGTAATAAAGTTTTGGGGTTGGATTTCAGATTGAATCTTTTTAATTTAGACTTCAAGGTTAGAAGTTAAGTTTGTCAAATAAAAAAGATGGTTTAGACCTAAAGTATTGAAAAGATTCTTATGAAAAGTGAAGAGAGAATTCAAAATTTATTTTGTTTAGATATATTTATTATTAAATATAAATTATGAAAATATTTAAATTATAATAAAAATTAAACTAAAAAAATAAAAAATATATTTTCTATTTGGCACACTTAGCTTTCAACCTTAAAGCCAAATAAAAAAATAATAAAGCATAAACTTAAAAGTGAAAAAATATAATAAAGCCAAATAGAAAATATAATAAGACCTAAATTAAAAAAGTGAAAAAAATATAATAAATCCTAAATTAATAAAATGAAAATTATGATTTTTAATTATATAAATTAAACAAAATGAAACAATAATTATTTAAAAAATATTTCTTAAAAGGATTTTTTTTTAGAAAGTTAAAAGTTTCATTTTTTTTAAAATATTTTCTGAAATAAAAATAATTATGGATTCTTATAAAAAATGTTGAGAGGATCCAAAATTTATTTTTGTTTTGATATATTTATTATTAAATATAAAATATTAAAATATTAAACATATAACAAAAAACCAAAAAAATGTAATAGTAGCATATTAAATTTTTTAATTTTAATATATTTATAATATTTAACATGTAGATTAAAAATTTTATTATTATTTTTAAGTTAAAAATAATTATGTATATAAAAAATAATGAAAAAACCTTTAATAAAAATTAATTGACCCCAACGAAGTGGGGCCGAATTCTAGTTAATCAAAATAATAATAGAATGGCAGCCCACAAAACGATGCAATCCACCTTATATGTGAATGATGTTATCATCATAAATACGTACACAATAATATTGTTTTTGAAGCAATCACAAATTTTCACCTATCTTTAATTAATAATAAATTTCACCTCTCTTTAAAATTATATGTTTGATTAAAAAATTTCCAGCAATATAAATTTGTGGGTTTAATAAACTAAATTGAATTATGCATGTAATGTTAAACTTTTTAACATTTCATGCATTATATATCAACATTAAATTCAAAGTTTTACTTGATGGGGACATGATACTTTGAAAAAGTAAAAAAGTTATTTTTTATATTTTTTTAAAGCAATAACAATTCTCTTTTTTGTAAGAAAAAAATTGAGGGGTTAATAAGTTGTTGAATATCTTAGATTTAGATAAAATATTTCGTATTTGATAATCTAAAATAAGTAATTACAGATCGTATATTTAAAATGATTCTAACAAACAATTATTAATAAGATTTAAACTCAAGATTTTTATATTAAAAAATATGAGTTTTAACTAATTAAATTACTCATTTGTTGGCATGCAATAACAATTCCATCCAATGAAATATGTTCCTGAAAAGATTAGAAATGCAATTTATTTAAGACTTTCGTTGAAATGATTAACTTATAGGTAATAATCTTTCTTTTGGGCAATAGTAATAGAAATTGTAACAAAATAGTTATGCAAGACTAAATAGTTATGTTTTATGTAATTAAAAAATTTTTTTTTTCAAACTTAAATATTCTAATGTTAAAATTTTTAATTAAAAATTTTCCATTAAAATATTATTATATGTAGAGTAAATAGTTATTAAAGAGAAACTTTTTTATGTTTAATTAAAATTAAATGGCAGAGTGTTAGACTCTAAGTGTTGTTTGATAAATTGGACAAATTTAACATTGAAAAATTAAATGCTGAATTTTTAGTTTTGAAAATTTTAAGTATTGAATTTATAATATAAAAATTGTTTAGTGTGCTAAAAATTAAATGTTTAGTAGATTGTTCATTAATTGGTATAAAATAAATATACGATTTTATAATTATTTTTAATTTATAGAAGTTAAAAACAAGAATAAATAGTTAAAAAATATAAAATTAATGCAATTAAATTATATTTTTTCTTAAATAAAATTGACTTAATACATTAAAAAGTAGCTAAAAACTATTTAGTATTTTCAACATTTTTCATTAAATAATTTTTGAAAATGATTTATCAAACACAATGAAAAAATAAACCCATTTCCAATAATTTATCAAACACACTAATCATAATTCAATCCCTAACAATTTCAAATATAAAAAAATTCTTTTATTTTCGGCATTTTTCCTAAAAAGCATAAAAATTATATTTTTAATGAGTTTGATTTGGGCAAGGCCCTATTGCACAGCCCAACCAGAAAAGCCCAAAACATGCAGCCCAATAGCGAAAAAGTGGGGTTACCCAATAAACTAAACCCTACCTTTTTGTTTTTAATTCGATAATTCTCGAGACTCGACGAGAGCCTGAAAGTTCTCTCTCCTCTCTCAGCCCGGTCCCTGACTCTGCTCCAAATGAATTAAAAGTAGAGGGGCAACAAACAAGTAAAAGGCAGAAAAAAAGGAGAAACGAAAAATGAAACGTTGAAGTTCTAAATTCGGCGAAGAAGAAAGAAGAGAAAAATGAGCATAGTGGCTAAGGAAACGATCGAGGTGATAGCTCAAAGCATAGGCATAAATAATTTGTCAGATGATGCTGCTCTTTCTCTTGCTCCCGATGTCGAATATCGCATGCGCGAGATTATGCAGGTTCTTTTCTTTTCTTTTTTGTTAAAATTCCTCTTTGATGCTTTTTTCTTCCAAATAAACTAGTAGGTTTTATTTCCCAATCTTCATTTATGTTTTGTTGTTTCTAATTTTTCCATATTGCGGATGGATTAGGGTTTTTTAATCTGATTAGTTGGTGATTTAGGTTGCTTTTCTTCGTTTTTTTTTTAATTATAAGAAGATGGCATAATTTTACAAAAATTGAGGTGATTAACAATGTGTGACTATAGTTTTTATTTTTTATTTTTGTAAAATTTCAGGAGGCAATCAAATGTATGCGTCACTCGAGGAGGACTACATTGACTACAGATGATGTTGATGGTGCACTTAGCTTAAGAAATGTTGAGGTTAGTTATGCAATACAACTTCATGTACCCTTTTAGCTTGTATATGTGTTAATCATAATTTCGTTGTTTGTATTTGTGTGTGATATGTGCGTGTGTTTTTAACGATAAAACACGTATGAAAATGCGAGCAATAAAATGAATGTATAGTTTTGGGGTAACCTTTCCTCTCGAACTTGGATGTTCTAACTTAGAGATTCACATAGCTGTTTTAATGGGAATGTTTCTGATGCTATGGTGCACGCTTATCATGTTTCTGATGGAAACATGCTGTGAGGGTAAAAAATTGTATTTTGTATCCAATAAATAAATGCAGTGGAGCCTGGCTTGAAGAATAAATAGCTAGTTAATGAGTTTGTTTGACAAGGTTGCATGATGTCAATATAGATTGTAAGTAGGATCAAAATTATTGTTTTGTGGGCTGATTGGCTGTGATTAACAATATAAAGATTTGCATATCATGATGAATAGAACATTTTCTGATTTACTTTAGTTATTATTTTTTTCTAACTTCAGAAAGTATGTTTTTCTTTAGTCTCACTATGTTTTTTCTTGCCTCAGCCAGTGTATGGCTTTGCATCTGGAGGTCCTTTGCAGTTCAAAAGGGCTGTTGGGCATAGGGATTTGTTTTACATTGATGATAAGGATGTGGATTTGAAAGATGTAAGAAATCATGGGCTACATTACTTGCACTTTGAGCTAAAATTGGTTGGGTGCTTGCTGAAGTTCCCTGTTTTTGTCCAACATGTAGGTTATCGAAGCTCCTTTACCAAAAGCCCCACTTGATACTGGAGTCGTTTGTCACTGGCTTGCTATTGAAGGAGTACAACCTGCTATTCCAGAAAATGCTCCTGTGGAAGGTCTGTCTAATATTTAGAGGCATTAGCAGTAGTTGCTATTCTCAATCTTAATCTGATCCTCTTGGAATCTTGGTTTGTCAGCATAGAACATTCAAAATATGAATTTACTTTTCCTTTAATGAAAGGCCATGCATTTTGCCATATGTGTATGATTTTGTCATCTTCATCTGTGACAAAATAAGCATTTATTAGCATGGTTTTAGCATGTTGCAACTATGAATTCCTCAAGTTGTTTCTTGTATCAGGATACCGTGATTTTTCCTATTAATTTGTTTGTTTGACCATGTTTTCTGAAAATTTTCTCAGGACCAATAGAATACTGTATAGGATTTTTTAAATATGTTTTTTATATTAGCCAAAGTACTGGAACTAATAATTTGGTTGACTTGTTTTATCTGTAGTAATTGCTGCTCCTTCTAATGGCAAGACTTATGAACAAAAGGATGAACTTCCGGTTGACATTAAGTTACCTGTTAAGCATGTACTATCAAGGGAGCTTCAGGTATATAATTTACTATTGGTATTTTGTATTATATATTTTTAATATTTTTCCATTTATTTACTTGGTCTATGTTCTTTCTAGTGCAGCTCTATTTCGATAAAATCACGGAGCTCACTGTGAGAAAGTCGGATTCAGCCCTGTTTAAAGAAGCATTAGTGAGTTTGGCTACAGATTCTGGACTTCATCAATTAGTTCCTTATTTCACTTACTTCATAGCTAATGAGGTAATAATTTTTGGATTTTAGACAATAATATCGATTAGAAAGATGAACTAGAGCATTTATACATTTGTTGTTCATTTTGTTTCTCCAATAATATCAGGTTTCTCATGGTTTGAATGATTATTCTCTTCTATTTGCTTTGATGCGTGTTGTTTGGAGTCTTCTCCAGAATCCTCACATACACATAGAACCTTATGTAAGTTAATCTTTTTCCTATCGGATCTATGAATTGATAGTAAATATATTTGTCAAGGATTTAAATTAATTAATCTCTTTCTAACTCAATTGAACAAACCCCTATCACCTACTGGTTTGCTAAGTGAATCATTCTCTTGTCATAACTCTATAGGAGTGCTATCTGTCAAGGAATTAACAATTCTAAACTAAGAAGGAACATTTTCGTTTTTCTTGTCTTGCCAGCTGCACCAATTGATGCCATCTGTGGTGACCTGCCTTGTTTCCAAAAAGTTAGGGAACAGGATTGCTGACAACCACTGGGAACTGAGAGATTTTACAGCAAAGTTAGTTGCTTCAATATGCAAAAGGTGAAACTTCTAAAGTGTTTTCTATTCCATATTTGAAGGAAATGTCTTGAGTTGGATTTTTTTACTTCCAGTCATCTTCCCGTAGATGTTACTGTCAGTAAACTTTCTCTCTAGCAATATGTGATAAATGCGCTTATGTTATGTGGACTTTTACTGTGGTATCGATAATTGTGTAAACTGAGGTTTGATAAGGTACTTGTGGTAATCACTTAATTTCACTGGTTGGGCATTGCATGGATTACTTTGTCCATTGACACAACTCTGCCCTGAGATTGGATCATCCAAAAACCTGTTATTTCTGGTGCAAGAGATAAACCTTCTGCGACTTTAACTACAAAATGTGATCCTCTTAAGAAGTTTGTCAAATGATGGATTAATTGTTCCCAACATTCATTTATGTTGTTAAAGAGTAAGTTAGATGTAACTCGACCTCAGTTAGATAATCTAAACTAATACAAATTTATTTGGATGACCTTTCCATATCACTGCTGTCAACTTCCATACAGATACTCTCCATTTTTTTTCTTCGTGTTTTCTTTCTTTTTTTTTTTTTTGAGTCAATCTTAAACCTGGAATTTAGGTTTTAAACATTGTTGCAGATTTGGCCATGTTTATAACACCCTTCAGACACGTCTTACAAAAACTTTGCTTAATGCACTTCTAGACCCAAAACGGGCATTGACTCAACACTATGGTGCAATTCAAGGGTTGGCAGCCCTAGGACCGAATGTGGTATATCCTCTTCTCACATATTTCATATACACTTAGTGCATATGTTAAGTTTACTTGTTGCGTAATGTCTTATGAACCTATTTGAATTCTATCAAAAGTTTATTTTTAAAGTAGTGGAATAGAAGAGAACATAAATTGTTCCATATTCTTCTCCTTCCCTTTCCCCTTCTTTATGATTCTTAAGTTAGATTCATAATTGGACTACAAATAATAATTTGAGGACTATTATTCCTTTCCCTGTGAAATTGATGATGTTTGGTGATATGAAATGCCATTTCCCATCAATAAAATGTAAATTATTAAAGATTCATGATTTGACTATAAATAATAATTTGAGGACTATTATTCCTTTCCCTGTGAAACTGATGAAGTTTGGCAGTATGCAATGCCATTTCCCATCAATAAAATGTAAATTATTAACCATGGCATATAAGTGTCAAGTCTTGACAAAATATGGGAAGAGAGGATTATAATATTTCTTTCATAAATGTTTACTGCTCATCCAAGGCTGTCTTTAAATTCACTTCTCATTCAATATTTTGTCTCCTTTTCTGAGCATGAACAAAGAAGTGAGAAAAATATGAGTGATGTACATCTCTCTACAAAGGTGGTTGTTTCTTTTTATGCAAAGCTTCTACTCCCTGTCATTCAAGTCCTTGGGCAGAATTGTCAATATCTATTCTCAAGTATTTTCTGTTTGAGTTTTGAACATTTTGTTGCTATTCTAGTAATTTTATTCATTTATGAGCATCTAAATCCACAAACAGGTTCGTCTTCTTATTCTGCCAAATCTTGAGCCATACCTTCGACTCCTTGAACCAGAGTTGGTACTAGAGAAGCAAAAGAATGGGATGAAGAGATATGAAGCTTGGCGGGTTTATGGTGCCTTACTGGTGAGTATTGTTCTTGTTTAGTTTTTCATATTGAACACGGAAATTTTGACACAAATATGCTCTTTCCAGCATGCAGCAGGTCAAGGCATATATGATCGCCTCAAAATATTTCCACCTTTGCCATCACCTCCAGGCCATGCTAACTGGAAGTCCAGAGAAAAAGTTGTTACTGCAGTGCCAAGTAATATTGCTTCTTTTTTCTAAGATGCTCCTACTCACTGATGTTTAACCTCCAAAGTAGTGTGAGTTCAAGTTTTGAATGATGGATTGCTCAAATGATGCATGGTAAAAAGGATTTGAGGAAAAAAAAAAGTGCTCCAAGCAGGGACGAATACAGGATTTATGATCAGTGAGGAAAAATATTTTTAAGTTAATTTAGAAAATTTTTCTTTAAACTACAAATTAATATGAAAGATTACAAATAAAATTTGCAACGTATAATAAATCTGCAATAGAAACAATATTTTCACAGCTAAAATTAACTATGGTTCTTGACAAATATAGCCTAAACACTCTTTATAACATATATAAATCATCTTTCAATACACGCATATCCATGCATATATATATATTAATTTAATAGAATTTTACTTAAAGAATTCCTCAAGGTAGATAAAATCTGTGAAAGAATAAAAATAAAAATCATTAAGTTTAGTTTTATCATTTACTTTTAATAGACAAATTGATTTAATTTCTTATTCATTATAATTTAGAGAATAACAAATGTCTCTTTTCTTATCTACAATGAAACTAAGAATGAATACATAAATCTCTGTTAGTTAAAGATGGTTTTTTATTTTTATTAATCCACAATCTATATGCTATCTATATGAACTGTAAATATAATACTAATATTATATATATATATATATATTATAATGAATTTGCCTACCACCCAAAGTGTAATTGTTCAAATTTGAGATAAACAACCAGAAAGTTATTGTATGAGCCTCAATTTAGTGGGGGCAAATATGATAAAAAAAATTTCAGTGGGAACAAAGCTTTGAATTTCTAGAACTTTTGAGATTTTTTCTAATAAGCCTAAAAGAATTACAGGTATACATGTAATATGCTTCTGGCTGCCAAACAGGTTTAACTCCATTATAAATCCTCTGACCTGCTTGGATATAAACCAAAGATGCTTCTGACCACAGAAAAAAAGATGCCAACCTGTTGTCCCATAAACAAAAACTTTCTGTCTTGTTCTTTTAGTTTGATTTTGTTTACTTCCTTTTGTTGCCTCTCATCATACTCTCTGATTGATGTCATTGATAAGTTACTCAATTAGGGCATACTGATACCATGAGGTAGCTAGATCCCATGCTTTGTTTTGTCTCCATTTTTGCATTAATAACTCTAAACAAGCACTTTTAAGCACGCAACTTAGAAATGCTTGATGCCCAGTGTTTATCTTACTTCTTGAGTTTCAACTCAATACCTTCTTGCTTCCTGTTAAATGTTCAAGATAAACGCAAGGCGAGCATGGAGCCCTTGGAACACGAACCAGCCTTGAAGAAAATAGTAACTGATGGCCCAATTGGTTTGGTTTCAACCACCTCCTCACCATCTCCCATGCAAGGGGAAACAGTGGCACCACTTTCATCAGGTGACTTTGATTCGGAGCAGCCATCATCATCTGAAAAGATGCCCAATGATGAAAGGTCGGGCAATGGAATTGGAAAAGATGGTCAAACTTTGAAGATGTCAGCCATCCTTAATCAAATTTGGGAGGATGACTTGAATTCTGGACGTACATTGGTAACATTGTTGGAGCTGTTTGGTGAAAGCATTCTCTCCTTCATTCCAGCTCCTGAGATGTCTCTGTTTTTGTAACATGTTGCAGAATAGCAGATTTTTATTGTTGTTGGGGTAGGAATATCATCATTATCGTAATTGAAGATAATTGTTTTAGTTCCTCTCTCTCTCTCCATACGACTTTCTATCTAAAGTTTCCCAGGCAATTGAACTGAATGATCTCCCTGTTCGTGCAATCCTGAATCATCCCTCAGTCTTCTAATAAAAAATTAAATAGAAACTCTTCCAATGTATATTATGACTATGAGTGGATTTACCCGTTATCTAAAAGTAAACAAAGCTCTGTTCGAACTTTTATTTTATTCCAAGTAAAATTTAATTTTGTATTATTATCTGAAATGACTCTGTTCTAGCCGATTTATTACTTTAAGACAGTTTTAGGTAACATGTAAATTTACTCCGACATGAACGTTAATTCCCCCAAACAACATTGAACAAACTGTGTTCATTTAGTAATGAAACTCATTTTTTTTGTTAAAGAATGGATAGTCGATATTAAAATGTTTTAAATTTGTTGAATATTAACTTTTAAAGAGGTGATTATACAAACCAAATAAGTTAATCATGAAACTCATCAATCTTTGCAATACCATTACTAAATCGTGATTATCCGCAATAACAAAATAGTTCGCTCCATTTATTCCGCTGATGTAGTTAGTTTTGAGAAAACATAGGAAATTGGTGAAAGAAATAAAAACCAAAAAAAAAAAAAACAATAACATAGATCAGTACTACTCTGAAGAAGGATTTAGCCAAGGTTCCGAATGAATATATTTAAGCAGCTAGCTTGGTGGATTCATGCTCTACTGCTTTTTTCAAGAAGCTCCCTTCTTCTAACACCATTTGAACAGGCAAGAATCCCATCCCATTAGCCATAGCCAGCATCATCCTCTTCATCTCTGCCTTGAACTCTTCCAAATCCACCGTCCCATTCGAGTCATGATCGAACTGCACAAACAGTGAATTGTAAACTTGAGCAAGCTCCTTGGGGTCTGTCTTAACATCGATGCCAAAGTGAGTTTCGAAGAGTCTCAAGCTCTCCAACTCCTTCAACAACTCTGTATAGGAGAGGAGTCCATCACGGTCAGTGTCAAGGTGAACAAACCGATCCCGTATTGAGATGTTGAATGCTTCTTCATCTTCAACGAAGTTAACAATTGTAGCACTGTCCAACACTTCCACACTCATCCTGCTCTTCGACTCCTCAAGCAGTAGATCCTCAAAAGCTGACACTTTAAACACTATAAGAAACACAAGAAAATGTTTTGATCTTAGTGGTTTGGAATTGGAAGTTGGATGTTAAGCATATTTATAATTGATGCCCACCGCGTTTACAGTTATTGAGTCACTTGTTTCTTAGATTTAGTCCAAATATGCTGGCTGAGACAAATAGTACTTTCATTTCTAGTTCATTACAAAAAATTATCGAAAATAAAAATCGAATCTAAATTTTATAAATTAATTATTTAATTTTTATAGACTCAAACCAAAAGGTTAATCAAAATATTTTGAAAAACTCAAAGCATATAGCATTTTTTTTTCTTGTTGGGTTTTGTGTTTGTGTATGAACAAGGGCTTTGTACAAGGATTTGGTGTTGCCTTTCGGTTTGTAAAGCAAAAAAATCCAATGGAATCACAACGTGTAGAAAGCCACCAAAGAGAAAAAGAAAAGGAACATTCTTGTCAGGAGAGAAACGTTGACCACAAGTTCAAGCAAGCCTTAGTTCAAACACTGAAAAATGGGAACCAATGACCCATAGATTGATTATTCCCTCACCAACCAAACAAGTATGCCTCTTTTCTTGTCTTTTCTTTTTCTTTTCTTGTTCTTTTCTCCACTAAATGAACAAGAACTGATACCAATTCTTCCACCACCACAAAATATTTGACAACTTCCTCCATTCAACGCTTTCTTTTTTCCGTTAAGAATGTGCCAATGCCATCTGCTTTTGCGATGCGCTACGTAAAGCATCATTGTCTTTATGTGTTTATAGTTTTGATAATAATCTTTATTATTTTTTAAACAATTAAATTTCACATAAAAATTTTATATCCGAGTATTTAATTGAGTGATTAAATAATCTGGTTTCGTATCTTTTTTTTAAATAAAAAATACAAATTCTAAAAAGTAATGGCAAACTTCAAACAAGATTAATTTTTTTTAATAAGACAGAGTTTTCATTGATCAGAATTTTAAAATTTTAATGTCTCTATTTTTTTTATTTAACAATAAAGGGGTTTTGAGTTTTTACCTAATAATAATTGTAGGCACCAATTTTGTTTTTTTTTTATTATTATTATTAATAGTTTTGTTTATTATTATTATTAATATTTAAAACAAAAAAAATTTTGATTTCAACTCTCACAATTGGTGACCAAAAGTCACCGAATAGACATAAATTTTTCACAAAACAAGATCACAGAAGATCTGAGGTCTTGAATCCCAAGAGCTCTATAAATAGAGCTATGTTCTGCAAAAACAAAAAGAGAGAGAGAACAAAAAAGGGGAACACACAATTTAAAAAAAAGTAACAAACAAAAAAAAATTTTCCTAAAAATGAAATCTCGATCTAGGAAGTTATAGATTTTTTTTTGAAAAATCTGGGCTTGAAAAGTGTTTAAAAAACAAAAAGGATCATTGGGGGAATTTTTGAAAATTTTTTTGGGTCATTGGAAACTAGAAAAGTTTGAATTTCCAACACCAGAATCTGAAAAAATTTAAATTTTTCGATGACAATTGAATTTTTCGGCCACAGGAATCTAGGATCTTTGAATTTTTCGACGTCATTGAAGTTTTTAACCACCGGTGCACCGCAACGACTAGCCGAAAATTGGGTTTTACGGCGGTCGACGAGAGGGGTTAAATTTCTAGAAAGAGAAGGGAAAGAAAAAAAAAAACTAAAACATGCATTTTATAAGCCCTCCAAAACAACGCCATTTTGGGTGTCCGGACCTAACCCGACCCACGTGTCAACTTGACCCGTTTCGTAGGTTTTTTTTTTTTTTTTTTTATTTTGTATTGATTTTTATGTTGATTTTTTTTCATGATATTATTGTTATTATTATTATTATTATTATTATTATTATTTTATAGTAATAATTCTTAAAATAAAAATAAAACTAAAATAATATAAGGACTTAAAAATATAATATAAAAAATTAATAATAACTTTTTTAATGAAAATAAAATTTTATTACAAGCAAAAATATTATTTAAATTTCACCAAAGTGTTGGGATAATTTAAAAAATAATTTTTGCTAAAAAAAATTAAATTATAAAAAATGATAAATAAAATAAAAATAAATTATTTAAATGAATCTTTTAAATGTAATTTTTAAATAAAGCTAAAAGAGTTTAGTTTCTTTAATTATTGCAAGTAGAAATAATTTTTTCGGATTTCACCATAGAGTTGGGATAATCTAAAATTATTTTTACTAAAATAAAGATTGATTTAGAGAATATTTTAATATATATATATATATATATAATTAAAAGAGTTCGATTTTCTTTAATATGAGCAAGATATAAATATTTAGATTTCTTCGGTGAGTTAGGATAATTTAAATTTTTTTTATAATAAAAATAATTAATAAATAATAAAAAGTTTTTTTAAATAATCATAATAAAAATTAATTAATTAATTCCTTTAAATACAAAAAAAAATGATCTTATTTAAGATCTTGTCAAAAGATTGAAATGATCTTAAAACTTGTTTATAACTTTTAAGATTTTACCGAAGAGTAGAGATAATCTTAAAACTTGTTTAATAAATTTTAAGAACTCACCAAAGAGTCGGGATGTTTCTAAAATTTTTTCGAAACAAATAATTAAAATATCTTATGATGAAGTTTCAAGAATTTTGTGAATGCTCAATTTTCTCGAAATATTTTTTAAATAGTGATTTTTTTATAAATTTCATCAAAGCGTTAGAGAATTTATAGAATACGAAATAATAATAGTAATGTTAATTTCAAAACAGAGAAAATATTTTAAAATAAATTTTAGGAAATTAAACTTAAATAAAAAAGATCATGCTATCAAAATTATAGGATTACGCATGTTTAAATGATACCGTTCTTCGAACGGGCGACGTAAAAGTGTTAATACATTCTTCACTCGTAACCGTATTTTCGAACCTAATCTTGATTTTGCAGACCTAAACTTCTTTTAGTAAGTTTTAATTAATTTAAAAATTTTTTTTTACTAAAAGATGATATTTTAGATTACCAATCACACCTTATAAAAAGATTGGTGTCAACTTCGAAAATTTTTACAAAGCCTAACAATTGAGTTCCCCTAAACGAAAAATTATTATGACAATAATTACTCTAAATTAGATACAAAAGGTTCACAATAGAATAATATGGTAAAAATATTTTAAAATGAGAAAGGAATCAAACCCCAAATAGGTAGGAACAAATGCTTATGTGGGGTTTTAGAATTGAGTTATTCTTACAAATTGAAATTGCCTTTCGGTTTTAAAGATTCAATGGGCTTCGCAACATCTTGAAAGACATGAACCAGAGAAAAAAGGAATAAAAATCAAGTAAGGGGAGAACCTTTAACTAAAAAAGATAATTTATGTATTTACGTCATATTTATTTTGAATAAAAAATATGTAAATACAAAAATTATTATGTATACAATTCATTTTGATATATTAAATGCAAAATATAGTTTTTGATATTTGCTAAATTCTACTATTTTTATTAATTTTAAATCGTATTATTTTTAATTTTTTTATTATTTTATGTAATATTATCATGTCATGTCTAAAATTATGAAATTTACCATCAACGAAAGCTCAAAATGCCAAATTCTCCTTTTTCAGCTTCAAGTATATGACAATTTTAAATTAAAAAAAAATTCTGATCTGACCTATTGTATTATAAATTAGTAAGGCAGGGGAAGTGATTAAACAAAAACAATGAGACCCATAGAATGATCGAATTCCCTCACTAACCCACAAGAAAATATTATATTCAATTCTTGGTTTAAGCATGGAAGAAGAAAGTCCCAGCTAATTGACTTGTTGGGCATTTTTCCTTTTTTAAAAACAATAATTTTAAAGAGATTTTAAGTGAATTAAGATGAAATTTTGATTTCAAGTCAGTTTAATTAAGGATTAATCGAGTTTGAGCTTTTGTTTTGCATTCAAATAGAACTTAAAAACTATCCTAATCTTAAGCTTAAAATTCTAAAGAATTACTAGTTTATTTGCTCAAATTGCTTAATTCATATGTGATCATGACACAAAAATAATAAATTTTAACTGAATGCAAATAACACAAATGCATTATGTATTAAAGTTTAAAAGCGTATGAAATGAAAAAGTAAAAATAAAAATTCAAACGAATCTCATAATAATTGAGATTTTAAGTACAGTTTAATCCGTAAAGAAAATAAATGTTTTTTTGTATATTAATTTTAAATTGATCATTATTTTAAAATAATAAAAATTTTAAATGTGTTTTTCAAATTAAAATTTTTTAATTGATTTGATCTCTAATTCTTCATGCTTTTTATTGTATATCTTTATCGTTCTTTTTATTCATAATTATTTGACAAATTATCCAACTTTTGAGAGGTTTATTAGTTTGCAAATTTTGATTAATTCCTCAAGGAATTAGTGAGAGAAGAAAATGATGAAACAAGCAAATCACAGATAGTACAAAATGCAACCAAATGCACGCAATTCGTGTAAAACTTTCCTTATTTCACATAATATTGATAATGAGTCCAGACATTTAGGTTGACAATTCAGAGTTGAAAGTGACCTGAAAACGAAATTTGTCTGGATTTATTGGGGATAAAATTTACATAAAAACTTTTAAATAAAGTTTGTGGAGTTTATTTTTAAAAATAATTTAAATGAAAATTCAAATCGATAGATTGATATAGTTTAATATAAAAATCAATAATATAAAAAAATTAAAAATATTGTTTATAATTAAAATTTGATTGTTACTTATTCAATGATAAAATTTTATCAATATTTTTATTTAAAATATTTATCTAAAAAATATATCAAAATTTATTAAATTTTTTTCAAATTTTATATACCTGATTTATATAATGAGATCTTTTAATTTATCAAATTTGATTTTTTATTTAATCACTTTTAATAAAAAATTCCCAAATTTATTATTGCTCCAACTACCATATTTAATACTTTTGCACGTAATGCCCTAAAATCCATGCAGTGTTAGAGGGACAGAAATCAACTTATTTTGCTCTCCATCCTAACTCTTGAGAGATCAGTCTTCCACTTCATATGGCTATCTTTTCCCACATAAAGTTGACCCACAAGAAAAAATTCTTCAAACTCTGAATCCGATAACAGAATTGAGTAACTGAGTTAATAAGATTGAG